TTTAAAAGCCTTAATTAGTCCCAAATCTCAATTATAATAATAATAATATAAGCCACTTACCATGCGTAAAACACTCCAGACTTCGTGTTTATGTCTTCCCTACATGGTCATTATCTAGTGTAATCAGTGGATAACTTAATATCATAATATAAAATGAATGTTTTATTTTGTTTAATCTCACCATCTCCATGGTGGGGTTTTAAGATTACAAGGGCATACCGGAAGAGCAAAAATATAATCAAAAGAGCAAAAAAAAGCCCATTAAAAATGGGCCAAGAGTTGAACATAAAATAAAGCAACAATTTGAAAAGCATGAAACCGCCCACTGAGCCCTAAGGTAAAATCGGCCCAAAAAAAACTTCCAAAGTTAGTTGCTTCCAATTAGTTTGTTCTTTAAGAAGACAAACAGAACTTGAGCCTAATTTCTAACATCATTTAATAACAAGTCAATTTTAAGTGACATTGGGTCGGTTGTATAAGTTTGTTAACAATTTATATTAATGAATATAGGCTCGTATAAATATATTTTTATAAAAAAATTTACACACAGAGTCCAAATCCCATGCCTATGCCTCTCACATTCCGAGTTTCCGTTGTTAGCATATATTTATGTGTGTATGTATATAATATAGAGTCCAAATCCTTTGTGCTCTATTGTAGTACGCTTTCTAATTCATTGATATTTATTTTCAACACATTTATTTTATATTTCAAAACATAAAAATATGTTAAAACTAGATCTAATGATATTGAAAGGAGATTTCAACACACTTAAACGTCATAGTTATTCTAAATTTCAATGGATAGAACATTTGTTCTAAATTTTATACATTTGTTAAAATTTAGATCAAATGTATTGAAATGTAGAATAAATATGTGAGAAAATTTTTGCAACACACTACAGCAGAGATTGATTATAGTGGATGATCCAAACTCGTACAATATATCTGATCTAGGGTTAAAAGTCTATGATTGGGTAAATTGAAACCACGTGGCATCACGTCGGAGAAGACTAGGTAAACTGAAAATGAGCATAACGAGTGAATTCTAAAAAAGTAGTTGTAATGTTAATTAAAATTGAAACAAAAAAAATTCATTCAAAGCTATCCACTTGATTGAGAGTGTTCGGAATTTAGAAGGAAGAGATTAAGTACACCAAACTTTTGATAATATTTATATAAGAACAATACTTGTCTACTTAATCTCGAGTAGGAAGCTTATACTCACATGTATGTAACGCAATGTTAAATTGACAAGCGTTATTATATTTAAAATATAAAAATTAAATAATTTGATAACTATTCGGTTTAAACCCAAATGAATCTGAATCAAATTATAATTCTCTCTCCTCTTCCTCTTTCTCACGCTTCCCTAATCTTATATGCCTCTCGCCCCCCCTCTCTCTCTCTCTCTCTCTCTCAAATTTTTAGAGAGAGAAACTCCACTCATGTCTCCGGAGAATTGGAAGAAGAAGAAAAAAAGAAGTAGATGCAGAGGAGGAAAGAGAAGACCAAGAAGTTAATTTTGAGGTAAGTAAGTATATTTTCTCTTCAATTAGATATTGAATTTCTTCTGGGATCAATTATTTAGATACCCTCTTCTGATTTTATGTTTCAAATATCTAACTTGCAAGAATCATAATTGTATGGGAAGTTTGGTATTCATCATTTAGTTGTTAAAGACAAAGTACTGGGTAATGACATTTAGTGGGTAATTTACATTTACGGGGTGATTTAGAGGCCATAAGTTACAACTCCTTAACTCAAGAGACTGTATTTACTTACCTCAACACTTCTTGGTCTTCTCGTTCCTCCCCTGCATCTACTTCTCTTTTCTTCTTAAAATGTAGAGTGTGGTAAAGGGAGAAGCTGGATGTTGAAGATATGGTCATTTTTAAGTTATAACATGTCCATTAAGTTCATATTGAAGTCATACAAGAGAGCTGTATTTAAGTGGTTTTTACTTTGTCTTTAACATCTAACTGATGAAATACCAAACTTCCCATACAAATATGATTCTTGCAAGTTAGATATTTGAAACATAAAATCAGAAGAGGGCATCTAAATAATTGATCCAACGAGAAATTCAATACCTAATTGAAGAGAAAATATACTTACTTACCTCAAATTTCTTGGTCTTCTCTTTCTTCCTCTGCATCTATTTCTCTTCTTCTTCCAGTTCTCCGGAGACACAATTGGAGTTTCTCTCTCTAAACATATGAGAGCGAGAGAGAGAGAGGGGGGGGGGGGGGGGGGGGAAGAGGGAGAGGCGGATGAATTAGGGAAGCGTAAGAAAGAGGAAGAGGAGAGAAAATTAGAATTTGATTTGAATTCGGATTCATTTGGGTTTAACCCGAATAATTATCAAATTATTTAATTTTTATTATTTTAAATGCAAGGACATTTAACATTGCGTCACATACATGATGTGTATAAGTTTCCTATTCACCGGTGAGTAGTCAAGTATTGTTCTTTATATAGTTCTATTAGTAGTAGGACAAAAATTAGGGGTATGCATATTAGTTTTGGGGATTAAATAAGGACTTTATAATGAAAAAATAATTACAAGGAAGAATTTGTTTTTGACTATACGATTAAAGAATTACTCCTTGCTCAACTTCATTTGGTTGTAGTTAGAAAGTTCCACTGTAGCTTATATGAACATATATATATACACACACACACACACAACATAAAAGTTTGACTTCATTTTCACGCATTTCACGACACAAAACTGTATTAGGTATAAAAAATCCAAAGGTTCATGCATGTTAATCATAAAAAACAATAGTATTAATTAGTATAAACACCATGCATGAGTAATAGAAATACTTGTTAATCTATTTATAACACGTGCTTTCCTTCATGCACACACATATATTTATAGTTACATTATATGTATATGTATATGTATATATATATATATATATATATATATAGTTGAATGAAAATGGAACATGGTCACTGATGACTTAATAACCAAATGAAGAGTCAGGCCAACTCCAAATTCATTTAATTTGTCGAACACTTAATAGGGGTCTTCATTTCACTTGCTATTTTATAATTTAAAAGCCTTAATTGGTCCCAAATCTCAATAATAATAATAAGAATAAGAATAAAAATAATAATATAAATCACGTACCATGTGTAAAACCCTCCAGACTTCCTGTTTATGTCTTCCCAACATGGTCATTAGCTAGTGTAATTAGTGGCTAACTTAATATCATATTTTGTTTGATAGTATGAATGTTTTATTTTGTTTAATCTCACCCTTTAAATGAAGTTTCAAGATAATTGAATAATCTATTTAAGAGTTAAAAACAGTATGACTGAACAAATATACAAAAATTAATAATGGCAATTCGACTTTCATATTATAATTTTCTTTTGAGAAATGTAATAACAGCGAAATTTTTTTTTTTTTTTTTTTTTTTTGGGTAAGTAAGTTTGTATATAAAAAGAAAATTGTACAGTACAAGATTACAAGGGGCATACCGGAAGAGTAAAAATAAAATAAAAGGAGAGAAAAAAACAAGCCCATTAAAAATGGGCCAGGAGTCCAAAAACATAAAATCAAGGCCTACTCAGGGCCATACAATTTGAAGAGCAAGAAATCACCAACTGAGCCCTAAGGTAAAATCCGCCCAAAAAAAAAAACTTCCGAAGTTAGTTGCTTCCAATTAGATGATGCCCATATAAGTAAGAAAATCATTTCAGGGATTGGGGCATGTATAAAATCCACATTTGTTTTGAAAATAACTTACATTGATGTTCATGATCTTCAGCAACATTGAGGCATAGAAAACGTACATTGGGTTGCATTGTGAAGTGCAGAGAGTAATGAATAGGGGTTTTATCGTGATGAGTTATCTTTATTAACCACTTGATTGAAACTGGTTGGTGTTTTGCCAGGTCTAAGGAGAAGCGGATTCTCACTCAATTAGCGGAGAAGTGGATTCTCACTCAATTAGTTTGAGCCAGTTTTGAGATTTGTGAAAAATTAAATGAATCATTTAAAAAAATCTCTCAATTCAACTAGACCAACCTCTTCAGATTCATATATATATATATATATATATATATATATATATATATATATATTCGTTCAATGAGGTAAGGATGCATGTGTCCAGAATGTTGGAGGCTAATAGGGCTCATTTGCAATCTGGTTTAGAGGAAATGAAGGGTTGGTATTTTTATTTCTCAACTTCAGTGGGTGTTAACAAATTTACTTTTAGTGACTTTTGTTACAAGATCATTTGCTCTCTACAAATATATTTTCAATTGCTACCAATTCATGCTACCCAATTCTAACTTAATCTGCTATCTTTGCATGGTTCTTAGCTTTGCATTTGCTTTTTTTTTTTTAAGGTAAATTTCAATATATATATATATGTGCGTGTGTGTGTGTGTGTGTGTGTGTGTACAAGACTAGGATTTAACACCTTGCAAATATTCATTTTTCTTTGTAGTGTGTGTTGTTAATTGATAACATAATTAAGCACAAACTTTTGATTGGTTTTCTAAATTATTGCCAAAGTTTTTACCATAACTGTGTACTGTACTGCAGTGGACGTTTTAGATAAGCCTGTAACAGACTAACAGCAAAGAATATGTATGTATATATATATTATATATAACTCCTTAATTAGAGAAGCAAACAAAAGAAAGAAAAGCGTCTCAAGGGAGAAGAGAACAAAACAGCTGGCTTAAAAGACAAAAAAGGGTTTGGGGGAGGTACTGTTTTCAACCTTACTTCCTGCCTCGAGAACACGGCAAAGTGATTCACACACCAAATTGCACGCTTGTAAAATAAAAGGACGAAAAGAAGAGAGAAGAAGAATGGGGATGGAACCATTTTCTAGAGGAAGCCTCCATATTAGAAGACTTTGACATGGTCAAGGTCTGCATTTGATTTCCGAGAACCACATGTATAGCTTTCGATTGTGGAAATAAAGACTCAAAGTCAAGGCCACATATATCTTCATCAGAATTATTAAGACTAAATTTATTTCATGTACTACTGTATTAATTCCACACTTGGCCTTCCTCTTCTGATTCACCTCGACCTGTATCATCTTCGTACGTGATGGAGAAAACTTACTCACTTGTTTGTGTTAGAGTTATATTAATGTTGGTGCACTACTACCCTCTCATGGCTTTTAGTACTAGTGCACCAAACATCACCACTGATGAATCAGCTCTTCTTGCCCTCAAATCCCATATCACTAGACACCACCCTCACAACATTTTGACAAAAAACTGGACCACCTCATCAACCTCCTCCCCTTGCGACTGGATTGGTGTCCGTTGCAGCACTCGCCACCACAGAGTTGCAGCCTTAAACCTTTCTTACATGGGCCTAACAGGCACCATCCCTCCACACATAGGAAACCTCTCCTTTCTAACCTTACTCAACATTAGAAACAATAGTTTCTATGGTGGTATCCCTAAAGAGATAGGTCATTTGCGTAGACTAGAATCCATCGATTTCTATTCCAACGACTTTGCTGGAAACTTTCCTAAAGAAATCGGCAACCTTGCTAATCTGAAATATTTGAACATGGGACAGAACTCGCTTTTGACAGGCTCCATACTTGCCACCATCTTTAACATCTCCTCACTGGTAATTATTGGTTTAGAGCATAATAGCCTGTCAGGCGATCTTCCGGTAGATATGTGCTACCGTCTTCCAAAACTCTACTTGCTTGGTCTGTCCTATAACCAGTTCACTGGCCAAATTCCTTCCACTCTACATGAATGCTCCCAACTTCAAATATTGAAATTGGCATATAACAAATTCAGTGGAGCAATACCAAGGGAGATCGGGAACTTAACCATCCTGGAAGAGTTATATCTTGGCGTAAACAACTTGGAAGGTATGATAAATATTTCTGCTTTTTTTGTTTTCCCTTAATTACTAGTAATATCCAGGTGTGTTTGCATATATGTAAGGACTACTTTATCTTATACAGTAACAAAAATTTTCATAGCAGGATAATTTTGGAATTTGTGCTCTGTTAATGATGTATATTAATTAATTAATTAATTACTAGGATGAATAAATACATAACTTCTCTCCAACCGGCTATCCATCAACATTAGAAACAATAGTTTCTATTATGATATCCCTAATTTGTGATTTTCACCCTCAACAACCTTACAGGAAACATTCCTAAAGAAATTGGCAAGCTTGCTAATCTGAAGGTTTTGGACATGGCGTGGAACCAACTTTCGGGCTCCATACCCACCTCCATCTTCAACATCTCATCGCTGGAACGTATTGCACTTGACAATAATAGCCTATCGGGTAATCTTCCAGTGGATATGTGCTACCGTCTTCCAAAACTCCACGACTTTTATTTGTCCAATAACCAGTTCAATGGCCAAATTCCTTCCACTTTATATGAATGCTCGGAACTTCAAAACTTGGGATTGTCATCTAACAAATTCAGTGGAGCAATACCAAGAGAGATTGGGAACTTAACTTTCCTGAAAGACTTAAATCTTCTCAGAAACAACTTGGAAGGTATGATACATTCTGCTTTTGCCCTTCCTTACTTTATCCATGTGTGCTTGCATATATATATATATATATATATATATACACACACACGCAAAATATATGACCTTATCTTATAAAACATCTCTCCCAAAGGGCATTTCTGATTCAGTTTTGGTCTAGTGTATAAAAGCATACGAAGCATGACATAAAACAATGTAGTTAGATTGAAAAAAAAAAAATGGACATGTACGACCAAAATGTTAAAGATTAATAAATTTCATGGCTTCCAGAAAAGTTGAACGATAAATTAAAGTAAGTTACATTTTTTCACTTTGAAAGGCCCATCTCGGATTAAAATGACCCTGAATATATATACAGAGATAAGGATTTTTTAACAGATTCATAAAAGAGCATGAAGCAGTGGAGTCACTCCCTAATTTCAAAATACAGCCTGTTAAAAATAGATTGAACGTACCACCAGTTGTGTGGCATTCATTGCACTCCTTTAGCTTTAAATAAAGTGTACAGATTAGCCGTAGCTTAAGTTTCACATGCTTGTTCGTAAATATCGAGTAGATATTGGGTGCCGCGGGCATACAGGCCAATGAAAATCAATATAACAGTTAGTTAGTTGGAAGCAAGTTTCAAAAATAGGTGGGATATGATGTATTTATATTGATCGGGAACATTAATGACGTAGCATGTCTAGGGATGTGGGTGTTTTTCAACTATAAAAGACCTCTTGCGATAGAACGAATCATTTGCTGGATAGGGCTACTTTGAGGGTGTTCAACCTCAGGGACTGTGGTGGTTTATCAAGTCTAAAATTAATTTCTATTTTAATTTAGAGAAAATTTGTGTTTGTTGTGATTGTACTCAATAACATGAAAAGAAAATAAGCAAAATAAAGTAAACTGAGATCAGAAGGAGAAGTACTTAGGGCTTGAACCTCATACCATGATAAACTGACTCAACCTTAGAGATTTCAATATTTATGTATAACCAGGAATTAAAAGAATTAACATTCAATGCAATTCAATTTTTAAGAAGATAAATCATGAATGTTCGCTAAGAATAACCTATCTTCGGTTGGCACGAATTATCTATCTACCTATTCTAAACTAATTTTGCAAAGTAATTCGTCTGCCCTAAGCATAAACTATCAAAACATTCATTCACAAAAACGATTTAAGCACCATTGCATAATCACTATTCTTAGTGTCATGAGAAGCCCTTAGCCGTCAATCTTAAACAATAAGACTAGTTTGAATTTGATTAACGAAGAATTAATTCTATGACAGGAGATTCATTTATCAAAAACCAATTTTATTTCATTAAAACCCAATTGCTTAGAGGATCTAAGTCAACTGCTCATAATCATGCAATCATTATACATAAATACTGAAAAATCCCAAAGTTGAAGAACAATCAAACCATAACAATCGGATTCGGGTTACATCAATGCCCTAGAGGATTTAGCTACTCATGAAGATAGAGAATATCATATTTGTTGGTGCGGCAAGCATCTTCATGGACTGCAACTCCTCTTCTGAGGATCTTCTTCTTCAATTCTTCAAAGAGAACTCCAAAAACCCTAAAAGCTGCTGCTAGATCTGAAATATTGCAAGAGAGTTTTCTTGTGGCCTTTCACCTTCTTTAATAGAAGCAACTGACTTCTATTCCTTCTTGGATGGGCTTTAGGACTTCTGGGCCGTCTGGGACTTTAAAGGATGGTTTTAGAATTAATCCCGCACTTAAAGAATTTTCCTGAAATGAAAATGCTCGAGCACAAAATCTTGTGCTCGAGCTCTGCAGCTTGTGCTCGAGCATTTTGGAAAATGCTCGAGCATTCATTTTATACTTAGCCTAATTTCTATCAAATATTTTCGAAGCGACTTTTTCTTCAACACTTAGAATATTTCTGACTTTTCTTGAAGTTGTACTCAAGCATTATTTTTTGTGCTCGAGCTTTTTGAACTTGTGCTCGAGCATTTTGAGAAATGCTCGAGCTCTGGCACTTGGAATTTTCAAAGCGTTTTTTCATCTTCCCAGGGGATTTGTGCTCGGGCATTTTGAGAAATGCTCGAGCATAAAATGTAGTGCTCGAGCATTTTTGCCTTAGTCATTTTTCTTTCTTCAGTCCACTTTGTGCTCGAGCACAAATGATTGTGCTTGAGTTCGGCAATTGAACTTCTTCAAAAACCCCTTGATTAACTCCAAACTTGCCTCAGATGGTTTGGTACATCTCCATAAGCTCCGGAAACAATATTTAAGCTCCAAAATTACGATTTTCTCCTGTTCTTTGGGAAATCTCCTACAAAAAGTAAATATACTAAAATAAGTATAAAACTGGATAGAAGTATCACTTAAGGTCTTAACATACGCACACTTAAGGGCTCGAATATGTAATATTCAATGCTTATCATCTAGCGCACTTCGTAAATATTGAAATTAAATCACAACCTTATATTGCTCAAATAAATGATATGATGATGATTCTTGGCTCTAATATGTGTAACACTAGCAGCTTGGCATGGCCATTGGCCTCAAAGTTGCATACTGTGTTGCAAGCCATTTAAATTTATTTTGAAAAAGAGGTTTGATGGTAATTGTGATTTAACTACAAATTTTTTTGTGTGTGATACATTTTTAATTTTTGCAGGTGAAATACCACAAGAAATTGGAAAACTTTGGAATCGGGAGTCTTTAGATTTAAGTTTGAATAACTTAAAAGGAGGACCGATTCTGGAAACAATTTTCAACATGTCGAAACTACGACTCATTGCATTTGTGCAAAATAATCTCTCTGGCAAACTTCCGTCAAATATTAATTTACCCAATCTTGAACAATTATTCCTTGACCTAAATAACCTCAATGGAATTATCCCCCAGTCCATCTCTAATCTGTCCAGACTCATTATGTTGGATCTTTCCGATAACAATTTCGGCCATTCACTTCCCAACTCACTCGGTAAATTGGAACTCCTCGAACTTCTAAACCTCTCAGGGAACAATTTCACCAGCGAATCTCCAGAATTGAGCTTTATTACTGCCTTGACGAATTGCCGACGTTTAAAAAAATTGTGGATAAAAGAAAATCCTCTTAATGGAATCCTTCCGGTTTCCGTTGGGAATTTGTCTACTTCGCTTCAAAGTATCTATGCGAGTTATTGTGAAATTAAGGGCAGAATTCCCAACCATATTGGTAACTTGAGCAATTTGGCTTTCCTCCATCTACAAGCTAATGGCTTCACAGGATTTATTCCAACCACAATGAACAAGTTATCAAGGCTACAAATTTTAGATCTTGCAATTAACAGGATACAAGGGCCCATTCCAAATGATCTCTGCCTCTTACACAACTTGGGATCATTAGATCTGGGTGTAAATGACCTTTTTGGTCCAATTCCAGCTTGTCTAGGGAATGTTACATCTTTAAGAGAACTTTTTCTGGATTCAAACAGATTAACCTCAAAAATACCCACAAATTTGTTCAGCCTTAAAGATATTTTGTATTTGAACTTGTCCTCAAATTCTTTAAATGGCTCAATTCCCTCGGAGATTGGAACTTTAAAGGCTGCAATACTTATAGGTCTATCATTGAATAGCTTTTCAGGTGATATCCCTAGCACAATTGGAGGTCTGCAAACCTTGATCTATCTTTTTTTGGCACATAATAGACTACAAGGACATATTCCTATGTCCTTTGGCAACTTGATCAACTTGGAAAAGTTGGATTTATCTTACAACAATCTCTCAGGTGAAATTCCAAAGTCAATGGAGTCACTCTTGTTTCTTAAGTATTTCAATGCATCTTTCAATAGGCTAAGAGGAGAAATTCCCACCAAAGGACCATTTGTAAACTTCACAAGTCAATCCTTCGTGTCGAATGAAGCACTATGTGGTGTCCCAAAGTTTCAAGTCCCACCATGCCTTTCAAGCTCTCTTCAGAGAACAAGGACAAAACGAGTGCTTCTAGTTATATACATTGTGTTACCAATTGCTTTGATTACTTTGATCTTCTCCTTTGTACTTATAAGAAGCCAAAAAAGAAACAGAACTCCAACTCAAATGGAATTGTTACCCCCGTCTGCAAATGGAAGAATTACATATCAAGAACTTCTGCGTGTTACAGATGGTTTCAGTGATTGCAACTTGCTTGGAACGGGAAGTTTTGGTTCTGTTTACAGAGCAACATTTGCGGATGGGACTATATTGGCAATCAAGGTGTTCAATTTGCAACTAGAAGGTGCACCCATGAGTTTTGACACGGAATGTGAAATGTTGCGCAACATTCGTCATAGAAATCTCACTAAAGTTATCAGCAGTTGCTATAACTTGGATTTCAAAGCCTTGGTACTCCAATACATGCCTAACGGGAGTCTCGAAAAGTGGTTGTATTCTCAAAGGTACTTTTTAGATATCTTGCAGAGATTAAACATAATGATAGATGTGGCTTGTGCATTGGAATATCTTCACCACGGTTATTCAATATCGTTGGTTCATTGTGATTTGAAGCCCAACAATGTCCTGCTTGATGAAGATATGGTTGCACATGTATGTGATTTTGGCATTTCAAAGTTCTTGGGTAAGGGGGATAGTATTGTGCACACAAAGACTCTAGCTACATTGGGATATATTGCACCAGGTAAAGTTTTTTAACTTTAGCTATCATTCAAATTTTATAGTAACAAAATTTTTAACTGCAGTTTCACGTTCCTCGTACATGTTAATTCTCTTGATTAATTTTCATGTTGGATGTAGAGTACGGATTAGAAGGATTAATATCCACAAAATGCGATGTTTACAGTTATGGAATTATGTTAATGGAAACATTCACAAGAACTAAGCCCACTGATGATATGTTTGCTGGAGATTTGAACTTGAAGCTATGGGTGAGTGAGTCGCTACCTAATGCGATAACTCAGGTTATAGATGCCAACTTGATCACACCAGAGGAAGGACAAGTCAGTGCAAAGGTGCAGTGTGTATCATCCATCATGCAATTGGCTCTTAATTGCTGTGCAGAATCACCACAAGAGAGGATGAACATGGAAGAAGCTCTGTCTACACTAAAGAAGATCAAACATAAGTTTCTTGCAAGTTGAGAAAGGCAAGAAATAAGAAGGTATCTGTTTTATGTTACTTAGGTGGAAGAATGCCTATATATATATATATATATTATGTTATGTGCTGATAGCGTGATTTTGTTACTAACAGATTGCATTGATTTGAGAGATGGAACTATTTGTAGCTTCACGATATCGAAACTATTTCTCAAAGTAAGTATGTTCTGTCACCGGTTGAAGCACATACATGTCGGGTCATTTCGATAGAAAAAATATTATATATATATATATATATATATGACTTTGTCTGTCAGACAGTTTGGCTTGAGTGTCCTAGAGATTTTATGGTCATGTACTACTTCAGCTTTGTAATACCCTGTTTTTTTATAGCTAGCTGTGTGCTGCATGTATGATTTCATGGTATATCTACATAATGATTTTTGGTTAATGACTTTCTTATGTTCTACAACAACTACAATCAGAAAAATCTGAAAATAGATTAAATTATTATTACTTGTGTTAGTTGAATCACGTTATGTTTGGTAGTTTTAGGTTACTTCTCAAGTATGAATTATTTTACCACCTCGTGGCTTTATAATTTAAAATCTTCCTCAAATTTCCAAATAAAAAACAAAATGTGATGCCCTAAATTTTATAGAAAAAATTTATTGGTTGCAACTTTAATCATAAAAATGTTGCAATGCATCTCACTAGAAATATGTCCAGTGGATAACTACTTATGGCACAAACTCAAAACCTATCTATGATTTGGCTTCATGACAATCAGGTTATGCCACTACAATATTTATTAAACTCACAGTATGCATTTTGAACTAATTATCAATCAATTTACATCTCTGAGATCATGTTGATGAAAACATTTACAAGAGCCCAAGAATTGTCAACTTGATATGTTCAAACATTCGTTTACTTCAATTTCAAAGTAATATACTAAACAGATCAACGGTGAACCTTTTAATGCTATCGAAAATTGTGTCTTCAAATTGCGCAGAAGAATCAATTGAGAAAGGGTCAAATCTAAAATCAAGAACAAATATATTGATTTAAAACATGTGAAATCTGAAATAACATCGTAGATAGTTTAAAACGGATATATATTTTTGAGGAAGAAAATGTATGGTAGTGTGTGTCCCCCAAAGGCATATACTAAATATTCAAAAATTGTCCAAATTAATTATTGTTATGTGAAACATAAATAAATAAATTCACGTAAGCCTCACTTAAATGTCATTCTGTTTGGTCCTTGTTCAGTGTCAAGTATTTTTTTTTTTTTTTTTGTTATAATTTGCAAGTATACCATACTAGCATAGCTGACACGACACGTTAAAAAGTCAAGAGATAGTGACAAAAGCACTAAAAGACAAAAAGAAAGAAGAACCCATGCACCACCCATGTGCCTGCCTCTAATGTACACAAAAGCCCCTATTTGACAATCTCAAGCAAATAAAGTAAAAACTTCCATGGTCAAAATATTACAATCTTGAGCAGGTCAAACACCCCAGTAAGAGCTTTCTGGTCACCAACCCTCGAGAGCACAAACCTCAAAAGCACAACACAGATTCGAGTACCAAGCTTCGAGATCACAACCTCGAGCGAGATCAAAATATTCATTCTATATATATATATATATACATATATATATATATATATATATATATATTTTTTTTTTTTTTTGAGCGACTTTTCTTATTATAATGAAAACCCTAAAACTTGTGGACATGATTGCAGTTGCACGGAATAAAACTTTATTCGGAGGAATCGACGTGGAATGATTAATCAATTATATTGGAAAGAAGAGGGATGGCATCGTCTTCCCATTTTAATGTTTTCCACCATTCCAGTTGTCCTTCAATCTTCCCCAAATTAGGTGCATTGTTAAATGCCAAAAGAAAATATTTTTAGTTTTGGACAATCGATTAAAATAAAAAATAAAAAATGGAGAAGCCAATGACTTTTGGTAAATAATGGCTTCACGTGTTCAAGCATCCTGTTGTCCTCCACCTCCTCCTCATCAACTGAAATTATCTCCTAAAATTCGTAACAACTCCTAATATCCAATATTTCCATATTAAGGAGTTGTGGAATCAGTTCCCATGACAGGACCTTCATGGTTACGAACAACTCTGCTCAAGTTTATCGCATATGCTCCTTAAACGCCTTATACGCCACAACCTAAGGAGTTCTAAGTTTGAAAAACATCCCTTTGGCAATCCATCTTCATCTACCATATTTTTAATTACTTCTTAAAGAAAATCTTGAAGGTTGAGAAGGGTTTTTAATCGAATGTTTCCTTTTTTAAGCCCAAGCCTTGACTATCAGCTGAGCCATAGCCATTTGTCCCCTGCCAACAAAGAGGCGATCAAAAGGGGACACACTCAAGTAAGACTTTATTGGACTTATTCTTTAACTTTTCATTATAATAGTCATGCTGTTAATTTGGCACTATCTTGCCAGCAGTATAGCAGGTTGAACTTTTGAAGCAACTTTGTATGGCAAGGGAGCCATCCCCGTCATAAAATTGCTCCCACACATCCATAATAATATTGTTCCTAACAGGGCTCAAACAAAAAGGCCTACGGGTAATCAAGGGTTTAGTTCATGGTATTCTCTCATCCTTCTAAATGAGAGAGATTAAGAGTGAGTGTACCCAATAGAACAATATAGGCTTGTATGCATTTATCAAATCTTTTGTGGTCTATTATCAAGATTCAGGACTTTGCCCCCATACAAAGTAGGTGAGAATACAATAGAACAGATCCAAATAAATGAGAATCACCTAAACTAAATCTTCTCGTTCATAAAATAAACAAATAAATAAAGGTAAACATGACAATGAATTGAAATTTCAATTAGCGGACATTTGAGAATGGATTACATGGTACAACACTACCATGAAGATGGCAATGTCGGGCGACAATTAGAAAATATACCTCTACTGGCCATAACCACGTGGTGGCGGCGGCGGTCTTCTACTTGCTCCCACTGAGAATTGGTTGCCCGGTTGTTGGGGATGACCATTCCCTCTGCCAACACTCTGGTTTACCGGAACCCATTGATAACCACCAGTGGCTCTGTATGGTTGGTAGCTCCCGAAACTGTTGTATCCTCCTTGCTGATGAAAATAGGCACCCGCTGGTACGGGATTTTGAACTGGAGCAGGAGTTTGAACTGGTACGGGAATTTGAACTGCATGCCGTGGAGGGGCATGTGAAGGGTACCTATTTCCACCATTTTGATGGAACCCTGTTGGGTAGTATCCCTGCATTGAGTGCTCCCTACTCTGGGTGGCATATCGGTTGTTCCTTTCATGCTGAGGTTGTGATCGATTGTAAGCAGCACGTGCAGTAGATGAAGCATATGGTCGACCATAATTACAGTTTAAGTGATTCTGTACAGTAATAGGATTTGAAGACCGGGGTTGACCATGTGTACTTTGAGAAGGATAGCCTGTTCTAGGTGCAACCTTTCTATCATATTCCTGACTATGGTATCGGTTACCTTGGTAAGAGGAAAAATGTGGTCTATGCGCAGCATCATAGGATAGGGGTGGAGCATACTTTCGAACACCATAACCATTCTGACCTGCCTTTAACTGTAAGCTATTAGCCACAAGCCGATGTGCGGCCTCCCCAAGCTGCCGACCAAAAATAGTTCCAGGGCTGTTTTGCCTGTAGGGAGAAACGCGGAAACACCCATAATCCCTTAATAAAATATCAAGAAAATAACAACACAATAGGATCATAATTATAGATAAAGACCCAACTCTATTCATTACCATAGGCAGATGATTTTAAAGAAGAGTTAGCATACCTTCCATTCTCCCATGGCTTCTTCCCAGATTCCTCATGCCACAAAACGGGCTCAGGTTTAAGATCCCTGACCGAAACAGTCTGCAAAAAGATACAAGCAAGGGTGAATTTACACAGCATAATATAGGTACCACTAACGTATCAACGCCATGCCCCATATAGCAATGCTAATAGAATACATAATCACTGAGATCACCTACGGTAAAAAAAAATTGTGCATGTTAATATTAGATTGATGGATTTGAAAGAAGACATTCAGGATTCAAATTCATAAAATATGTAAAGAGGATTTGGTTATTTGAAGACGGATTGAGGGAGACGAGGAAGAAAACATGGAAAAGGTAACAGGTAGGAGATGTATATTCATTATTCAACTAGAACCTTTGTGCAATAGGAATCATTTATCGGATGGATTTCAGACAATTCCCTTCATGTATGTGTACATTTACAACAAATTATACTTCTCAAGTAACTATTTAAATTGCAAACCAAGCAGGCAGAAGGCAACAAAATGTCATAAAGTAAATAGGATGGCAGAACCATACAGAGATAACAGAGGATGATGTTCCCACACTACTCACTAGGCACTAATTTAAGCTCAGTCCAAGAATTTTAAAAGAAGCCACAATCCAGTGGAAGCACAATGACCAAGTAGATAATTTTGAGGTCATTTTCAACAAACTTAAGTCATATTAGGTTTTGGCTTAAAAATAAAAATAAAATAAAAATAAAAATAAAAAAAAGAAGAAAAAGAAGAAGAAGCCTATTAGGTTTATTTAGAAGTGCGTCTCCAAGTTGCAATCCAAGCATATTCACAAGAACCTTACTACCAATTCAAGTTGGGTGCCTGTAAATGTCAGTTAATAAACATGCTCAAAAATCAAGAGTGAATTGATAGAAAATAAAAATAAAAATAAAAATAAAAACTAAAGACTGAATAAAAAGTTTATTAACACGTATTCTATTATTCAATCATATTAGGTTGCTTTGGAAGTTCAATTCCAAATCATTAATCCGATCTTGTTTACAAGACTTTAACCAAAAAGAAAACATGTTCAAAAGGAACTTCAGATGGTTAATGTTCACAAAATGAGCATGAATAAAATGCAGAATTCAGATTTACTAGTAGTAAGACGAATTGATAAATTTTAAATATGTATACATCAATGACAAGGTTGTAGGAACTAGGAACAACAGAGGAGATAAGATGAGACAAAAACAAAATACTAAAGATGGTCCGACAAAGTGTAAGAAATAGTCACCTAAATACCTTATTTGGGAAAATAACTCCAGCTGGTGGTAGAGCTATATGTTTATGAGCATCTGGAAGTCTGTATATAGCACAACTGAACAACAGAGGAGTAACAGGTGAGATAAAAAAATAAAAATAGAAAAAGTAAAAGGAAAAGGAAAAGGAATCCAAGAAGCATTTTATTTTAATTAACCCACTTAAAGATTATCTCTGATTTATTGGAAACTTACATGACTTGATTATCCATAATATCTTCCAGTCCTGCAACAGGTGACCTAAAAATTGGAGGGCAAGGGTCTCCAGCACAAAGTGATATATAACCATTCATCCCATCACTGCATGAAACCCAAAACAATATAAGGAAATACTTCAAGCAATACAAAAGAAAAAAAAAAAAATTAATAGGATTCAAGAGGCCAGCAAACCGCAGTTATTTATATAAAGGACATGATTTAGGAACGATGATGTAGGAGAAGGGATAAAGTCCTGCTATTGCTGAAAAACAACCTCAGACCCTAACTCTGAGCTAGGTTTAGAGGTATTTAAACAATAAAAAAGGGGGAGAAAGGATAGGGGCCAAGTATGCAAATATTTATTATCAAGCAAATCAAAAGATGAGTCTCTTCCCTGCAACCGCAAATTAAAAAATACAAGATACGTGGATTTACACAGACAATCGTAGCAAAGATACAAACTTGCCAACATAGGAACAAATCTGGGGTTCAAAAAACAATTTGCCATCAAACAACACTGAACTTGGGCACGATTCAGGAATGCAGTGAGAAGAATATGAAGTAAAAAATATCCACCAGACAGATTTTGGCATTAAAAAAACATTTTAAAGGTAGAAAAAAAGTTGTGAAAATTAATTTTGAAGTAAAATCATCTTGCAAATAAAAATACTTGTGTAAGGAAAATAATGATCCTTTTGAATTCTGTTGAGAAAATGAGAACTTTAAGAAATTAAATATATGAACTTTTCCCAGGAAATTCGGGATATTTCTTTTGATGTATGAACTATTGGAATATTGGAGTACACCAGCTTTAATTTTTAGACAAGAATGGTAAAGAAATCCAAAAACAATCTAAGGATTTTGTTATCCATGGGAAAAGTAAGTCCATCTTGATAATCATAAAAATAAAAATAGAAAAAACTAATAATCATACCTCAAGGATACTAAGAAAGAAAAATCTTCAGGATATTAAACAATTGATTGACACACCCAAATGGCAAAAGCAACCTCATCTTGAAAACTCGCATTATTTTATGAAATAATCAAACTTAAGCAGCACAGCACAAACCTGGCCCTCGGATCAAGTTGCTCCTTGATTTCAATTCTCTCTTTGTCTGGCAAATGTTTATAACGGTCATCAAGAGAAAATATATATGGAGATAGGGGATGAGATAATGCCACAAAAAGCAAGTCAAACATCACACTGTTCCTCCGTACTTCCTCCTCCTACAAATAGAATAAAATATTTAAATATGAAAAATTGAGACTTTAAGAACCTGGGAAAAGAACACAGTAGCCAAATATGTCTCAGAATTTTCTTTCAAAATACCATACCGTTAAAGTGTGTTCAATTTTTTCAACCTCTGATAGAAGGCGGGATTCATCAATGAAAGGCAATTTGGTAACACCCTTCAAAATAAAAGGCACACAGGAAAAGGTCAAAAGATTCCACAAAACTAGAACATTGACTTCCTGTAAACATATTGCCCATAAGAGAAAAAAAAACAAGAAATTACTATTTTACACATAAAACTCACCTGCCAAGAAAACCGCTTTCCATTCATGTCCACTTCAAAATCTAAAAACAGAACAGAAGTAAACAATTTAAAAAAAAAAAAATTATATTTGCCCCCAAAGAAATATAACTTTTCATTTAGCCAATCATTGAACCTCACCAGTCGGATAAAAATCTATAATTGGTGAGTTAGGATCTGTCATCAATTTCCTATAACGCTCAGGAAGTGCATGGGAGCTACAATGGAACCCAGTAAGAACACAAGTAAGTGATGGAGAATTTATTTTTATATAAAAAATAATAAAATAAAATATAAAAATAATAATAATAAAGTAGCAACAGAAACCTTGCAGCTGGAAAAACCCCCAAAAGCTGATTAAATGGTTTGAATGGAAAACCTAGTTCAAAGCTTATAGACAACTGCCCAAGATCCTTGAGATCAGAAGCAAATGGTGCATAATGATAGGGATAAAACCTGTAAGACAAAATATTGTGCCATGAAGACCTAAAAGAACATATGTAAGACAAGAAAGTATAAACAACAAAGTAATAACACCTTCTGGTAGATAAACAATGAAAGTATAAACAATGAAGTATACACGGAGAATATATTAGAAACAGGATTAAATGCAGAAAACACCACTGGGGTATGCATATTGTGCATATAACACCCCTCTTCTTCTAAAAATACCCCCCTCCTAATGATTTGGTTCAAATCGGTCCCTTCTGTCAAACCTGCCGTTAACCGAGTTATTAAATTAATGAAGGGTAAATTACATTTACCTCCCCTGAGGTTTGGGCAAATCTCACATAGGTGGAGCGTTTGAGGTTTTATTACTGACCTCCCTTTTGACTATAAAAAGTCTATTATACCCTTAAATGTAATATATTTTTATAATACATAATATATATATATATATATATATATATATATATATATATTGATAAGTTAATACATAATACATTATAAAATCTAAAAAATCAATTATTCTCTCTCCACTCTCTCATTACTTTCTCTCACCTCTCCACCACCGACACCCTCTCCTACCACCGCCACCTCCACACGCAGCCGCCACCTTACCACATCTATCTCTTCTCTCCACTTCTTTAAACAGCAAGTTACTTGTACATTAATATATACAAATAATATATATACCTAAAACATAATTTCTCTCTCCTTGATATAAAAACCCATTTTGGGTTCTGTTCATAAGAACCTGCCTTGAGAGGTAATTATCATTGCAATTGATTGGCTCTCTGAAGTTATTGGGGGCATAGTGGCATACACAACCATATATATATATATAAGCTTTACAATTCGGAAATCCCTTCATTTAGAGGTTCATTAAAATCCTATCATGGTTCCTTTCATCTCAATTCGATGGACACGCAGACGATGTCGTCACCATCGAGATCTTTGGCGAGGGCCATATTGCCGTCAACCACAAGCTCGTCGACGCTGACTTCTTCAACTCCTTCGAGGACGATTTTGACGACTCTGATATCAATTGAAAACTACCGCCAGTCATCAATCATTCTATTTCTGGAGTTTTGTTTGGTAAGATTGTCTCTTCTAATGCTTATTTTGACGGAATGATGAAAATGCAAAGTTTAGAACTTTAGAAATCATCTTCTGTTCTGGATATGTGTGTGCTTGAATATATTAAATATACAAATTTTACTCTTATTTTAGATGTCTAATAAATTATTTATATAGTTGTTGGTATCATTGGATATCTGGATTTCTATGAAATTTAGAGATTTCTGTTGTTTAGTGTTACGTTAATTATGCTTGAAGAATTAATGGTGACTGGTGGTGAGAATCTATTATTTACTGTTTCTCTAAGAATTAATAATATGTGTATACATATATATTTATATATAGTTCTGCTGGGTTTTTTTTTTCAACAGTTCTCATGTGTAAGCCAGTGCAATCTTGTAAAGGAGTGTAAGAATGAGTGTAAGGGTAATTTGGTTATTTTGTAAAATTTCTTTGCAAGTTCTGATGGGGGGGGGGGGGGGGGGTCAAAGTAATAAATTTCAAACGCTCCACCTGTGTGAGACTTGCCCAAACCTTAAGGGAGGTCAGTGTAATTTACCCAATAATTTTTTTTTTTGATAAGTGCAATTTACCCAATAAGGGCTTGGCTTATACGACGCCGTGTCCTGTTGGCATTATAGACCCAAACGAATCGCTTGTCCTCTCTACGTTTCTCTCTTTACATCATCATCTCTCTATGTTTCTCTCCTTACATCCTCCGTTTCTCTCTCTACATTCTATGCTAGGAAGCACGGACACTCCAAAATGGGCGAAGAATCCGTGTCCAACACGTGTCGGACACGCCAAAAAATGTGTCTGGAATTTTTTTATTTTTTTCAATTTTCGGACACGGCTGGGACACGCCACGGACACGGCTCAGACAGCTCGGACACACTTTTCTGGGATTTTTTTTTTTTTTTTTTAATTTTTAATGCTGATATGTTCTATTTTTTGTTTTGTACTACCCTAAAGATGCTGATATATATATATACTAACCTAAAGATGCCACAATTCGCCGTATCCGCGTCCTAAAGATGCTGATATATATATATACTAACATATCAGTGATATATATATATATTCCAACCTAAACATATCAGTGTTTTTTTTTTTAAAATTATTAATGCTGATATATATATATATATATATATATATATATACTATTCGCCGTGTCCGTGTCCTAATTTTTTTGGATTTGCCGTGTCGCCGTGTCCGTGTCGTGTCGTATCCGTGTCCCGTATCCGTGTCCGTGCTTCTTAGATTCTATGTTTATCTGTCTACATCGAATGTCATTTTGCTTGATCTAAGGCCTCGTAATCACCATTAGAAGACAAAGATCAACTTGTCTTGTGATTCTTGAAGACCAACTCTATAAACTTATACTCTGATTCTTGAAGAACAAAAGTTTGATACCAGACCTGTCAATGGAATTCCAGAGTACTCACATTGCAGAAGTATTCTTGGGCTTTCAGAGTGGTGGAGATTCGACTAACGAACTAAAGCCTACTAAATTTGAGTTTTCAGAGTGATCGAATTTTTCCTACTAAATTCAGTGTTCAAATTTAGGTTGTCTTCAAATTTGGGTTGTACTTTGTTGGACAAATTTTAATTTGGGATTTAAGCCAATTCTGACCATAAAGATGGAGTTTGGATAATGAAGATAAAAGTAGAACGAACTTAGTCGACCATTAATACACCTATTTCATATATATTTTTAAACCTTATGTTGTTACAATAATCTAACATTTAAAAGCATCTCAGAGGAACATAAAAGAAATACCACTGCATATTCTTAAATTAAAGAAGTAATATATTTGAAAAGGAAATAGAAACTACCATAGAGATGTGCAGTGAAGTCAAGGTTGCATAATATGAGGATTGGAGTTAAAAATAAAACTGAAAGAGAAAATGAGAGAGAGTGAGAGAGGCTAGGTCTCAACTTGCTAGCGGTTGAGTTTCTTCTTCTTATAATTTTTTTAAAAACAAAACTTCAGTTTGTTGACTTACATAACATAATTTTATTCAAGTATTTCAGTTCAAAAAGTACTCATCAAGTTCAGGTGCTCACTTTTTTTATTAATTATCATTTTCCCTAATTAACTAAATAAAAATATTTTAATGACAACAATTTGTAATGCAAAACTCGGTGCATGTTTGAAACAAGAAGTGCATTGCATCTTATGGTCCAGACTACCAGTGATTAAGCAATTATAAGTACCCAGGGCGCTGCCTAGGCTAGAATTTGATAACGATGGGTAGAGTCGAACATTAAAGCTTCAACATTTAGAAGTTTCTGTGCATCATGGATCATTAATTCTTTATGCATTGAGCAGAGTTTATATTAACACATATCATCAATTCTTTATGCACTGAGCAGAGTGAGCCAATTGGGAGGAGGGTGTGTGCGAGAGAGAGAGAGAGAGAGAGAGACTCAACAGCCATTAGCAAGAAGTTACAAGTCTATTGCATAGAATAAGGAGAAAAGTTTACCACTGCCACGAACAAACCCCTTCGTAATAATAGTGCATAACCCAACATAAACCTTCTGTGTATTTCAAAACCTACCAAAGGGAAATAAAATTTTTGGTTAACCCACTTAAACTAAAACACGAGCTTTATCACTTCAAAGAGATGCAGTAGAACGCAACTGCAAGAAAGAGCCACTACAAAGTACTGGTCATGTCAGAGATCAAAAAACTCTCCAAAGATTCCAAATGATATCACTAAACCCCGCAATCAAAGTTTTCATTCTAGTACCATCAGAAAATCCAACCCCAATACATCTACTCTTATGATTTTAGTTTCAAGAAACAATTTATGAATGTCACCTGCAAGTGAGAACGAGAAAGAGATCCTAAATTACAATCGACAAGTGCAAATTTTCTGTTTAAATGTTTAAGATTGCATTCCCTGGTTCATTGCAAAAAGTTGGTAGTTAACTCCAATTAACACACACTCTTAAATTAAGACACAATCTTTCAAAAACGATTGCTCATCGTGGAATACGCTCACAAGGAGGACCAGTTCAGATTAGACTTTAAATGGGAGACTTCATCTACTTAACCACAAGCACCCCACAAAACAAACAAACAAATAAATAAATAAATAAAGGCAGCTTCAGCATGTGGAACCCCAAAAAATATACCCAACCAAGAAAATTAGGAAAGGTGGCAGCAACAATGGTTGCTTAGGTGTCAGCAGATGGTGCACCTATGGTGATGCCAACATGTGTCAACCATGGGGAGGAGTTTTGGATTGCCCATGAATCCTCCTCCTGCCCAAAATCCATATTGACCACATAGCCTATCCTTCAACAATAAAATGCACTGGATACACATGAACTTAATGGCACCGACAGACTTAATGCTTGCACATACAATTTAGCCTGCTCCCATGGAAACTTTTGAGGCACCAATTTAGCAACCATTTCAATATTTTTACAGGAAATGGTAGGATCAATAGGGCTTCTTTCAAGTATAGAAATCTAATGGAATAAGCTTATCCAAAGAAGTTGAGGTGGTCAAAACCTTCAATAAACTTAGAACCATCACACCAAGCTATTCATGAAATCTGCCAATAGCAACTTATTAAAAAAACCTTATAGCTTTTACTAAAAAATAAATATAAAATAAATAAATAAAACTCTTCCTTTTCAGGTGAAACTTTTTTTTCTTTTTTCTTTTTTGATAAGTAAAATATCTTTCAGGTGGAACTTGACCAGATCAATTCAGTAAACTATGTGGCTAGAAAAGTTTCTCAATTGTTGCAGCAGGGATTTATGTTATCAGTTATCAAAAATTCTACTCAACTAAACCCAAGTCAATGATACCAGACAAACTAATGACAACCATATTTGCGCAAATTTGTCGTGTAAATGTTCACAAAACATACTGACAAACTCTCTTTTGTTAGTCAGGGACCGAGTGGGATAAACAAAGAGTCAAACTACGACCTAACTGTTCAATAATAATTATTACTCCTTTCATATATTCAACATCAATGGTAGTTAAGTTCAAGTAACTTACAACATCTTTACGTATTGTTTCAAGTTCCTCGGGAGTTTTTGCAGAAAACTTTTCTTCATAGTATCTCTCTTTCCACCCCTGTTCTCCCAATTTGACCTGATAAAAGGACATCAAGAAGAAGAAGGGGAAAAAAGAAAAAAGAACCCAAGATGAATCATATAAGTGGTAGCATATATTCAGATATAGCTCTTTTAGTCATTATAGATTCTAAATATTTATCTCCAAAATTACAAGAAAATTCAAAACAGAAGGCAATAACGTAAGGTTGACTCATTTAATCTCAAAAATTTTCTTTGGAGATTAAAAGAAAACTCTACTGTGCATGCAACATAAACACTGGCCTTCAGAATAGCCCACATCTCAGCATGACTGAGTTACTGAGTTCCACTCCACAATTGCATGACTTCCCACACTTCTTTGAAAAAATAGATTCAAGTCCTTTTATCCATGTTCTTGAATCATGCATATACATACAATTGGAATGACATTCTTATATTGCACATATAGCCCCTCAGATTTTTTTGCAGATGTATACTATGAATAAGCTTTATCAAAAGCTTCGATTCAGCCATAACATGTAATATTAGAAATGCAAAACACAAGTTTATCATATGATACAATAATGATTTCGACTACCTAAATAGTTCATTCTTTTAGGTAGCCTTCGATTTTAAAAGTAAAGTTTCAGGATGCATAATTTGGCACTGGTTTCGGATACCAAACATATCTTTAATAAAGTCCCAAACATCTAAGCAGATATGAACACCACATATGAACAGAAGACATGGTATATATTAAAACTGACCAACATACATCTGTGAGTACATACCTTGTCTTCATCTTGATTTTCAGAGTTAAAAACATCAGACTTTTCACGAAGTATCCGCTTTAGCTTTGCTTTCAGTTCTTCTTTGTTTTCACATTCTTCTGACTGAGAACAGACACACACAGAGAGAACATAACTCAGTCAAAAGCATTTTAACATGTGGAAGAGAAAAAGAATAAAACGATAACAAGTAATAATACTAATAATGATGATAAATTCAATGTTAGCACCCTGTTTCCAAAACTCAAAACAACTATGATGCTAACCCATGGAAAATTAGTACTAAAATATGGATGGAGTCAGAATTACATTAAAGTGCCTCTCCTGAAGCAGTAAAACATACTTCTATTTCTATACTATTCTCTGCTTCAACAATAGCAGCACCAATGGTGGTCCCAGAAGACAAACGTGCAATTTTTTTTGCCCGGACACAGGCACCTCTACCATCAGATATCCCTGACTGCTTACTCTGAATATCAAGAGTTGACATACCCGCAGTAACATTCCCAAGTGAATTTTCAATTTTCACACACGTCGAACTCACTGGACGGTATTGTTGATATGGTGAAGGTGAAGGACCCAAAGCAAGACGAGAACCATGATACCGAGCAACAGGAACAAGAGATTCAGGTTTGAGTTTAGGTTCTGCATCATCCCCTCTTTTTGCTTGCGACTTTTCACGCTTGATTCTTTCGGCTTGCCTCTGAACAATGAAAGCAAAATATAATGATAATATTGGTTTCACTTCACAAGAATAGCAGGCATTACAATAGCTACATCCTATGTCACTGATGGGATGCCCTCATTCTACATTAGCATAAATGCATTGATAGGTAGCCACTGGCAGAAGAACTCACAAATGAAAGTATAATATTAATGGTAATGCTAAAGTATTGATGAACAGAATAAATATAAAAGGCAGTGCTATGCCACAGCCAGTGATACTTCCGTGTCAGTTTGCACAATCGTAATCTCGATCCAACAATACAAACTAATCAAATCCATCAAGATCCTAAGAAAAATAAGAGTAATAAGTTTGTGGTAAGATCGCCAAAAATTGCAGAAGATAGTAGGATCACCATAGGATCGTTCATGTATACAAAAAATAAATAAAAACCAATAATTTGTTTCCTTTAACCTTTTGTCAAAAATGTTGGTTGTTGTGGGTATGTAGTTGGTATTTGGATTGCACTAAAAAAATTTCTTGGTTTCATTCATTAAAATGTAATTTGGTATTATAAAACATACATTTTTGTAAGGAAACTGATAATAGAAGAATCTAAAACTTGATCTTCTAGTCTACCTTTTGAGTATATTAACAAAGGTATCTGCATGAACGTGTCCATGCTATTTTTTGTGTTTTAGACTTGTTCTCTATCTATTTTAAGGATTCTTTACTTATACATGCAGTTTTAGTGTTCTTTTTTCCCTCATTTTAAAGGATCTTACAATCTTCGATCCGATCATGCGGACCCCTAATCAATCCGACATAGAATCTCGATCCTAACAGCCTTGGATTTGCAGCACTTGGCTGCACACTGTCATATAATCTTACAAAGAGATTGCTGCTAAAGCATTCGACAAAATGAAACTATGATGTGAAAAACAAACTTATAAGTGTAATAAATTTAACAAAAAAATAACTGGGATATATTGGCAAGATCCAGACATTGGAGAAGACCACAGTGCAAAAGGGGAAAAAACAATCATTCAAGGAAAGTCAAAATTTTCAGTAATGCCACCTCATTGAACTACAAAGCAAAAAGTGGACATCTAATGGATGAAGGCAACCATGTCATTGCTAAAACAACTCAAACCTGATGCAACCTAGCTCTTTTCTGGAATATTTTATCTTCATATGATCCCACAGCCTGAATGAAATGCTCGACCCTGCTCAGATTTGGCTGACATATGGAAAGAGAAACAATGATGGAAATTAAAACTATCCTTCAAGCGTGTTAAAAAATGAAGCGAATTGCAATCTTGGTAATCTGGCCTAGCCATATTCAATAAAATACCTTGCTTGAGTCAGTCAAATACCCACCCAATGCCCTGAATTCTTTCTTATATATAGCCAGAAGCAAGTTTATTGCACCCTATAAAAATTTAAAAAAAAACACAGAATCGTATAGATTATTAGAGTATAAGAATAAATCCTGAAAGTATTTGACAGCAAATAGCAATCTTAGCAGTACATTGAAAGAATGTATTTTGTTGGTGGTTTAAAAGCCCATCAACATGCTGGCATATCCATTGATGTATCTAATATCATGAACCAGAAAATAATAATCTCCATTGATATATTCAGCAATAAGGATATCATTCCTGAATACTTTATTTTGTTATTTTGTTGAAATTAAGATAAAATACAGAAATGTTAATCTACATTTGGAAGTCCTCCATGGAAATTTTGTTATTCGAAAGTTCATCCATATTAAAATGTCTGCATTTAAACTTTCTTGTTCAAATGTTAATCTACATTTGAATTTCTGTGGAATATTTTTCGTTTTAAAGCAAGACAAAGCATCATGTTAATCAAACAAGACAGTTAAGAGTTTGCAGTCATAATAGTATCACAAAGAATATTAGAGGCATTGTCAAAATGCACTAAACTTCTCTAACTCAGTTTGTTGTATTCCATAATTGACTGTGTGTGGAAGGTGGTTCTGGAAGTTAAAGTTTGCTGCCAAATCAAATGACTGAGTGGCATGAAAAAAAAAAAAAATTAAAAGACAAAACAGACCTCGCGAATTTCCAGCGTGGGCATATGGGGTAAAAAATCATTGCCGACAAAGAAGCACATAAAGACAAAATCATCAACAATGCGCTCAAGATCAATCTTGAAAGGAGGGTTCGGAATTCTCATCTCATATTCCAAATACTCTCTAAGAGTCCAAATGTTGAGAAACTGCAAACGACACCCAAATTAGGTAAGCAAACATCAAACCAGGTAAAAGCACTAACACACCTACTACTTTTACGTGTAAGGATCAAAGCTAACCTGATACGGCTTCTTGGGCACAGCATCACCTTCACCTTTCTCATCAAATTCCCCTACCTTTCTCTTTGCCTTTCCTTCACACTCTGCAGCTAAATGACCCATTTGACCACATAGGAAACATTTGTCTTGTTGTCCTGGGGTGAATACAACCTGGCAACCAAATTGCAGGAGCATGTCTGTTATCTGTTAAAATTTGAAGAGAACACTGACAACAAACCGCATATAAACCCAATATTTTCCATCCTCTTAGTTTTGTAATAGTAAACTTTTTGCAATGGAAAAATCAGCAAGTATAGAATGCTAATAATAATAAAATACTAAAAGATCCACCAAAAGTAAAATACAAACCTCCCTGAGGATTGAAAAATGAACCTCATGGGTAGCCAAAGCCAACATGATTAAATCAGCATCCTGTTATGTAGCAACATTAGAATGATAGAATCCAATAATAATAGTCTAAAACAATAGAAACAAAGCATAACAGGGAGAATAGTTGTTAAATACAATCACAGAAATGTTGAAGTAGAAGAATCACCAAACCATAAAGGCAATGGCGCGTATTTGGATCATAACCAGGAAGATTTCTTTGAAGACGAATATACGACATAATTTTGTGTTCCCCTTCACCAGGAACATTTGCATCAGAAAGGATAACCTTCAAAAGAACAGAATGATAAGCAAATCCTAGAGCACTAATCCTTCTTCACCACAACACGCACTAGAGGACAAGCAAACCATTATATTCGCAAAAGAAATCAATGAAAACTGCACCAGAACTTAACTTGAAAAATACCTTAACAGATTTCCATCCAGGGTCATTGTTTAGTCTAAGATGAATGTAGTACTGCAAAGCAATTGACAAAACAGCCATGAATTCAGTTCCAGGTGTGATAACATTAGAATCACAAACTTGGGAATCCTGTTTTGGGGGAAGCTTTCTGCCTTCTTTTTCAAACTCCTCCCTTAACTTTTCTTCTTCAGCTGCCTTCAAAAAGAAGTCACAAATCAAAATTAGCTATATTTTATATTATAAGCAGGTAAATAAAGAATGTATAGGATAGGCGTATACTGCATCTGCTGCATCTTTGGCTGCTCTAAAACGCCTAGACCGCTGCTGATTCATCTTAGCTCTTGGGGCAACGCCATCTACCAGATTTTTCAAGATAATGAATATCACATGACGCATGTCAATTTTTATCAACTTCCAAAGTAAAATTACAAAGTACTTCCACCTTATTACCCACCAATAGCCATGTATAACAGTTTGCGAGGCCGCACCATCACAAAAAGTCTATCTATGTAATCGAACATGCACTGAAACACCTCATCGAATGTGGTTGGAGAAGGCTGGATTGAAAGAAATAAGTTATTTTATAAATATCTGTTGAAGTATAAGATAAAACGAAATAAAAAATAACATTTTTGTGCACAAATAAGATGAAGCAAAGCATAATTCAGAATTTTGATAACAATACACAATTATAATTAGTTTATTTACTTAAGTCTCACAATTTTGCATGTGCTTTGATATCAGTCATTTTGGCTCAGTCCCATTTTTAATCTAAACCATCGACTGACTAATAGAAGTTAACACGAGTTAGTTAAACATTGGTTGAGAAACGGTTGGGATTAAAAGATAGGGCTAATCCCCAATTATTCTTTCAAAATTGAAAAGGGTTCAATGTCAAAATGTATTTTTTTATTAAAAATAAAATTAAAAAAAAGGCCTTGGCCATAATCATTCAAACTTTTTTTTTTTGGGGGGGGGGGGAGTCCGTTAAGTTTTTTGCTAAAAATATTATGTTCCTTGCAGCGACCTTGTAGGCGGATGCAAGAGGCACTGGCAGGCTACCACACCGAGCTACAGTTGCACAGTCCCACATCGCCTGGGTAAGGAAATGGTGAAGTGCTTATATGTGGTAATGTTATCTCCAATTGGTATGAGGCCTTTGGGGATAAAAATCAAGTGCAAAACCGTACGGACAATATCATATCATGTGGTGGAGTGGATCGTTCCAAATGGTATCAGAACAAAGCTCAACCGGAAGTGTGCCGACAGGGACGTTAGGCCTCCCGGGGGGTGGATTGTGGCGACTTTGTGGGTGGGTGTATAGTTGTTAAAGGAGCGCCTAGGCTCCAAAAAAGCCCCAGGCTCATCAAGGCTCAAGTAGAGCACCTCAACCTACTACAGCCAGGCCCTTTAATCAAGGTCATGCTTTTTAGTAGGCCCCAGGCTCAAAAAAGACACGTCTTGTATTTTTTAATCATTTATTCATATCATTTTCTTCTGAGACTTTAACCCCTGACCTCCATTTGGAAAGTAAGAGGCTGATACTGCTAGACCACTAGTCCGTTGGTATTTTCTTTTTTACTTGACGACTAGTAAATTAAAAGGTTCTATATCATATATCGTATTGTTTAACCCTATGCAATATTTGACAAAGTGCATAAATTTATGGTTCACTACTCACATTAACTGCAATTACTACTTGATTATGAATAAATATATTAAATATGCATTAATATATACACGCGCCTTACTTTAATCAGGTTCACGCCTTATACTGCGCCTTGCATTTAGGCTCCAGAAAGCCTTTGATGCCTTAGTGCGCCTTGAGCCTTTAACAACTATGAGCGGGTGCAAGAGGCACTGGCAGACTACCACACTGGGAGAGCTACAGGTGCACAGTCCCATATCGCCTGAGCAAGGGAATGGTAGAGTGGGTCGTTACAATCCTTCGAATTTTGTTTAAATATTTTTTATTTATTTTAACTGTAAAAAAATCAATTGGGTTTATATTCTAAAGTTCTCCATTATTGATTTTTCAATTTTTCTTTCAAGCATTACAAAGAATATATATACTCAAGTTTCTTTATAGTATTGAAGTTCTTTTTCTTATTTGGGAGATGTTTGAGTTCTCTAATACCACTAAAGAGGTATTTAAATATTTTATTTCATTAAGTGATCACAACATGATATCTAGTAAAATATTAAAAATTAAAATAGAAGGTAAAGTTTTGCCATCTTCGTGCCTATAGAGATCTTTTTTTTGAAAGCATTCTATCTGCATGATGCTCTCCCTTTGTATAATATAACGCTAAAATTTATAATTAGCTTATAAGATGAGAATATAAATAATTATACTCTATTTTAATTAATTGTTTTTAGTCTTTCTGCATATATTACTTTATGTAAAATCCTTCATGTATATTACTTTATGTACAATGCAATGCTTATGGATGGTTTTTTCTTATATATAAAATAAAGTCTTATTATCTGTACTAAAAACCTCAAAAAACAAAAAAGAAAAAAAAAAAAATCATAAAAGTATATGAATTGGACAAATCAGGTTCAGATTTGAATTTCAGAACTTCAACTTGTTTGATGGCTGGATTTAATACTTAAGTCATGTACTTATGCCAATATGCACACTAGTTAACTAATCCAACCATTTGTTACTTGTAAAAATTTCCAAACACTACTTTTCAAATTTATTTTTATTTTTATTTATATAATAAACAGCACTCTTTAATTGATTTTTTTTTATATATATAAGTAAAAATACTCTTTAATTTATTTTTTCCCCCTATTTTAAAGACATTGACTTAAGTCAAACAATTTTACATGTTTATTACATTGTCACCTTCCAACAAGTAAAATCAGGAATCAGCTCCTTCTTAACCTTAATATTAATAAATAAATTCCTTGGGTCAACTAAGGATTGATTAATTAAAAGTAACATAAATTAGATCCTTAATCATCTTTTATGCAACATTGTGGTACTTGGGTCCAAATAACTGTAATAATAATAAATATGAAAACCCCTCATACTATTCAACTTCTGCAACTCCTTGATTGGGCTCCTATTGTGTATATCATGTTTTTTACTTCTTTTGTCAGTCAATAAAACTTATCCTTATCTAGCAAAAATAAAATCACTGGAACCAAATTTTCATGATGCTAAAATTAGTCACAAAGTTTAGACAGATAAGTTGTAGACTATGAACATGCACACATAAAAACACAAAGAAAAAGCATACGGAAAAAACAATTGAAAGAGAGATAGAAAGAGTAAATAATGCAACTCTATTGGTAAAGCTAACAGCATTTCAAAGAATGTAATCATTTTTTTTGCTCAATTCATGTTAATATTTTCAAAAACCCAACCACTTATTTTTTCACAAGGACACAACTGACAAAACACCACCAAACGTCTCATCGAATTTCACCATTTCAGAAATGAAATGCAACTAAAAACAAATAAAAACATCAACCACACAACAAAGCTTCAAATTCGTGACAAATAGAATGAAAAACCAGAGATGAAATTGGTACCCGGTCTTCGGGGTGAAAGCAAGGGTGTATAATATTATTCATGTCGAGATAGAGATTGTCATATTCGAGCTTGTTAGGGTTAGGTTTACTCGTGTCGACCGGAATTGTAACTCCGTCGATCACAACCGGTTCCTCCTCAACCACATCCACCACCACCTTTGGATACTTCTCAGCTAACCATCGATAAAACGCCGGAACTCCCATCGCAGACCAACACTCACGCAAGCTTTAAGCTATCTTCGATCAAACCTTCCTCAAACTCAAAACTCAAACAAACAATAGATACAACATAAATATAACAATTAATGAAGAATACAACTCCAATGCCAGAGAGATAACTAAAACGAACAATAGATAGAACTCAAACGAACAGGAGAGAGAATATGCGAATATTAGAAATGGCGGTTTGATGCGAGTCAATGTTGGCGGTGACGGCAAATTAGGGCACGAAACAAAATAGTATGGCGGTTTGATGCGAGTCAATGTTGGCGGCGACGGCAAATTAGGGCACGAAACAAATAGTAGGACAGAGTGCCCTTTTCGAAGGGAGTGGAAGATATTTTGAAGAAAACGAGGGGTGTTTATGTCTTTGTGTACGAAGATAGTGAGTCGATCGGTTGGTCCTAATTTCTGGTTTGCGTACGGTTTACTATATTAGTAAATGTTGTGGACTATTCCTGTAAAGTAGTTGATATTTTTTTTGGTAAAAAGTAGTTATGGATATTTTTAGATAATGATATTTTTGGACTCATCTTTAATGTTAAGTCAACTCAAAAAATAACAATAATAAATCTATCGAATCTACTTGATATTAGGGACATAAATTTTTTTTTTTTTTTTTTTTTTTTTGAAATGCAATTTTATCTAATTAAATCACATGTTATTATATTTTTTTCCTTCCTAACTCTACTTAGTTAATTTTAATTCTATGTTCTTAGCGTCATTGTATAATTAAATTATGTTGTTCTTCTTAGCTAAGGTGTTGTTTGATAAAAGTGAAAATTAAATACTGCAAATTTTAATAACTGAATTTTAAGTACAAATTTTTTTTTCGTGTTAATTAAAAAATAAATATTTTTAATAATTTTTGAAAAATTTCAATATTCATTGTTAAGTGATGTACCGTTACTTAAAATTTTACTCATTTTAAATAACACTTGCCATTTTTAATAATGTTCAAATTGCGATTATTAAACAACAGATTAAATTATTAAACAGCAAATTAAATTATTAAATGGCAAACACAATTAGTGGTTTTTTTTTGCACATAACCAAACCATCTTAACTAATATTCTTTTAATTTTTTTTATCAAGAATTCATGTTACTTAAATCAGTGCATAAATGTTTTTTCAACTCTAATTCTATCTTCCATTTTTTTTCCCCCTCTTCTCATGCATATCTCACCACATGCACTTTATGCATAAGTTGATTCTTAGTAATCCAACATATATTATGTACTAGTAAGAATAGTTGGTCTTGAAAAAAAAGAAATGTTCTTCCCTTTTTTCTTTTCTTTTTTTTTTTTTTTTTCCTAAATTGTTTTCTTAATCTGCATATTCTATATGTGTAAATTAATTTAATCCAAAAAATATCACTCTCTCTTTCTCTCTCTCTATATATATACTTATAAATAGACTTACATGTATGTATGCTATATTGTAAATATATGTTATAGTGTACAATACTATAATGTGTCGCACTGAAAAAAATTTCTAACTCCGTCCATGAATGATAGGGCATTTTATAATAATTTTTATGAGAGTAATGCTACCAAATACCGATTGGTATTTTAACAAGAACACAATCTCTCTCTAAGATGTTAAATTCAATGATAATCTTATCTTGGCAACAAAAATCATAGACAACTTTATTTTTATTTGGACGATACTTGCCTAATCACCGGTGAGTAAGCAGTTCATACTTACCTTGATGCGGCCCAAAATTAATGTAACACGTTCCCTATAATATAAAATAATAAAAATTAAAATATTTTAAAGGTTATCTGGATCAAACCCAATATGATCCAAATCTAACTCTTTCTCCCCCTATTCTTTCCCAAGAAGTGAATGAGAAGGAGATTTTTGTCGAAAAAAAACATTTTAAGCTAAAATTCTTAAATAAAATAATATTACAAGATACAAACAAAGCTCTAGATGATTAATAGAAAAAATAACTATAGATATTTGTTTGACAAGAAATAAGCAATAACAAACAATCTATCCTGCAATCAACAAATCATCTATCAAATCATGCGAACAAGATTTTTTGTAATTGGGTGTACTTTAGGTAAAAACAATTGATAAATATATATAAAGATTACACCTTAAACCATGAAAGATAAAAGTCAACACTTTCTGTATTGGCAAATTAGGGTTTCAACGGAGTAGTTTGAGAGAGAGAAAGAAAGGGAAGAGAGTTAAATTAGGATTTGATTTGCATCCTTTTAGATTAACCCAGTAAGCATTTAATTTTTTTAATTTTCTATTTTAGGAAAACTTGTCACATTATTTTTGCCGCACATCAGGAGTAAGCATGAACTTCTTATTGAGTATTGCCCTTTTTATTTTATAATTAAACTACTAATTTAGGATGTGTATCTTAATTTTGATTTATTCAATCTTTTAGATGGCTTGGCAAGTTGAGTTTTACACATATCAAATTTTCATACTTGGATAGACTTGTGCAAAATAAGGAGCCCAAACACTTGTCCCATCTGCAAGAATAAGAGGCCCAAACACTTGCAATGACTCTGGAGGAAAAGCCGAAAAGTGCTTTTGTTCCGATGAGCCCAACATTCTATTTCACTTCTCAGCAGTTACCCCTGTTTTGATTGTGGCCCATTTCATGGGAGAACATCTCTTTAATTCAATTCTATTAACTGCTGGGTCCATATTCGTTCATGGTCTCTCAAATACTATGGTCTGCATGCAAATCCTACATCATGCAAGTCCAATTCAATTTTGGTGCATTGCATGTATTTGGTGGTGAATTATGGGTGTTATGATATTACCATCATTTGATTTGGATTTGGCTGATTTTTGACAAGTTTATTTATTTATAATTATTTAAGTTCGAATTTTTGGATAAATAATTTTTGTGGGGGTACCCACATAAATTAAGTTGTTGTCAGATTGTATAAGAGATTTAACTTCATCACTTTTTTGGTATCATCGACATAGGATTTTACATCATAATTACTTAATTAGTTATTTCAATTTTAGACAATTATATTTATTTCAGTTATGGAATTTTTACTCTATATTTAAGGATTCTCGAGTTGTATTTAGGATTTTTAAATTATTTTGGAGTTGTTATTTGGATGTACGTGAAAGATCAGTTGTCACACAGTTGGCCATTTTTGGAATCAATAGAGACAGTGCTATCGTGTTAAACACCTAAGGGGTACCATGACTAGTACGGCAAAAAAATAATAGCTCAACTTGATCTTGCTCTTCATAGTCACATTTGCATATGTTGGGCCAACCTTTAATAGAGACTAAGACCCTAATGTCATGATGAATCACACAAGAACACAAACTTTAAATTTAGTGGAGGACAATGACATTCAAACATGCTCTCGATAATTTTTATCCTACTTTGAAGATTCTGAATTTTAATTCTGTATTCCTCAAGCAACTTTTGTTTTACTCATCCTCTTTTTTCAACATGTTATTCTCCTTTTTCATCAATTCTAGTTTCTCAGACTACTTGTGACTAGCCTTTAACATTGCCTCAAAAATTCTGGACATATTCGGTCTTACCCTGTACACGTGGCTTTTGAAGGCGTTGCATATGAGTAGAGAAATTCAAGGTCATTAATCACAACTTTATACCTTCTACTCTCTGGTCTTGCTCTTTAATTGTGAGTGTCTTAAAAATCACCCTTCATTTACTTTCCCTTATGAACATGTTGTGTTCTTTTGACTCATACAACAAATCAACCACCATGTCTTGGACACTCTGTACATTATGTTGTACCCTATTGTGGGATGCAGCAATTTAAGATGACAGAGTTGTGCATTGCGCGTTAGATTAAATGAGTTAGATGTCACATCTTCTCTTGTAATTATGCGGTACATGCGATCACAACTACGGTTCGGGTACGTCCTTAAGTCCTTGGTGTTCGATCATTGGAGTTCTCAAATATTGAACTAGAATGGGACCATCCATCTCACTTATTTAAGTACCCGAACAATGTTATAAATGTCGCGACTATATAAAGCATTCTAATTTGATTAATTTTAAGTTTACTATTCTTTAAAATAGTTGAGAAATTAGCAGTTGTCTTTTATTATTAGTAGAAGTGTACACACCCTTCATTTACTTCTTCTCGTGAACATGTGTTCTTCTGACTCATACAACAAATCATACACCCTGGCTTGGACCCTCTGAATAGAATGTTGTTCCCTATTGTAGGGTGCAATTTAAGATAACACAGTTGTGGATTAGACGAACTTGAGTTAGATGTCAATGTCTTCGATCTCTTTTAGTTACACGCGCCTTATTAAATGTGTTCACAGCCATGGTTAAGGTACTTTCCGTAAGTCCTTATTGTTCTAATTCCGATGCTTAGCTGGAATGTCACAATCCATCTCACTTATTTGAATAGACGTGCACGTTATGTACAACAGTCACGATTGTGAATGAGACTATTCATCTCACTCATTTAAGTAGGCGTGCAACGTTATAAATGACAATCGCGACTGCACATGGCATTCTTATTCAGCGTGTTTTAGGTTCGCTAGCCGACAGTTAGAGTCTTGTCCTTGATGTAATTAGGAAGCTTAGAGTGTCTTTTCGAAACATACTTAGGAGGGCCCAAGAGTCCTCACAGTCTACCTCCTTCATGGTTTTTTTTTTTTTTGGCTCTAACATGGTTTAATTTTCAGATGGTGCCTGGCCTTTTTGGGTAGGATGAAATATGTCCATTGCTTTCTATTTTCTCATAGCTGACACCTTTCTGTTCAATGTCTACTTATTTCATAATATGATGAAAAAACAACCACCATATGATAAAGCGGACTCTATCCATACTTTCCTCAGAAGAGAATCTCATCTGCAGCAACAACCCTTATCCTCTCCCGTGCCATTTCATCACGTGCCGCATTGTGTGTCATTTGCATTACACTATAGTGTGTTGCATTAATAATCTACACGCGGCACAAGATCCCCTTCCACGGGAGGGTTCCGCTTATGCTAGCAAATGCTAGCTCTGGGAGAGAGTGTGTGTATGTGTGTGTGTTTGTATAGAGTAATTAGTTAAGCAGGTGGGTTGACAGACATCACAGGTCCTTACTACGTTGTCCTTACAAGAGGAATTGGGGCAAAGGTAACATGGGGTTCATGTGCTTAGCAGGGTACAATTTCTACCATAGGAGTCGGCTTTTGTTGAATAGTGCACAGGCTTTTGGTGAAAGTTGTGGGCCCAACCCTCCTGTTTTAATTTCTAATTCACCCATTTTCATTCACAGAACATGGAGAGGCGTCCTTGGATGAAGAAGACTAGCCCATGTCCCACTACATTTCATCATTTTCATTCACATTTTTATATTATTATATTCTTAATTTTGGTTTTCTGTGTTTTGACTCAGCTGAGTCTGAATTTAGCAGAGCGGAAAACTCAGATGGGATTGAGTTTGTTTTGATGAATGTTGAGTTGACTCAATGAATGGTAGGCCAACTTGTCTTGAATATTGGGTGGGGGCATATAATACATGCAGTCCTTGTGCAAATAAAAATGTTATGTATTGTCAATTTTTCAATGTACCAGCTGAGATGGGAAAAATGGACAGGGAATGAGGACACAAAATCTGCACGTAACCATATATATGAAGTAGAATGACGCTCTCTCTCTCTCTCTCTCTCTCTCTCTCTCACACACACACACACACACACACATTGTGGTGGTGTTGTTAGAAGGCTACTTTCTGGACCTTAGAACATGGGGGCTATTCATCATCATAGATAGGCTAAATATCCAGCAGTTCTCATTAGGTTTGAATGTAGTATGTCTTAGATTGTGATTCTCACCCTCTGTCAGGTTAACAAAAAAAAAAAGAAAAAAAAAAAAGAAATTTTTTAGATAGGCTAAATATCAAGCAGTTCTCATTTTGGAACTGTGGTTGACAGTTCCAAAATGAAAAATAAAATAAAATTTTATTGATGGGCTCAGTTTACTTTAAAAGAATTTTAATACGAAATTTTGATAGTATAATTTTTGTGTTATTCCCTTTCAAATGGCCACATCTTTGTTTCAAAATTTAACCGTGTAAGTGACAAAAAGTAGAGAATTCACGAGTGTTACAATCAAATACAACTTGTTATGGGGCAATGTCTGAAGGGGGCATGCGGAGAGACTGTTTCTTTAATTACTTGAGCCGGTGAAAGTGATCTCCAAATTACAAAAGAGCCACCCTCAAAAGGCAAAAATACACCCTTTTTCCTGCCGTTAACTCGTAATATAGTTTATTTTTGTACAACTAATCTACATTATGATAAACACTAGCATGTATGATTTAAACATAAACCACAAAAACCAGTCACATTAAAAAATAAATTGTTTCTTAATTAAACTAATTGGTGGGAACACGGGATAGTAACCCCCACGGCTATGCTCCCAAACATGTCCCTACAGTGCCCAAAAAAACCCTTAGCACGGTTTCTTCTTTGCCCCCACAAGGCCACATGCCATTGTTTCTGTCATCCTCAAAAGTCCTACTTTAAATCCAACCATTCACACTCCCATTCTCCATCCCACCACCCTATACCTTTCTCCTCCCTCTCTCTCTCTATATATCTCTCTACTTTCTCTCTCATCTCAACAAGTTCTTTCCATCAGAAAATGGCCATCAAAAAATCAAACAAACTGTCACAGACAACAGTTCTCAAGCACATTGTGAAGAGATGCTCAAAGAGACAAGGGTGTGATGATGAAGAAGGGCTTCCTGTGGATGTCCCAAAAGGACACTTTGTTGTGTATGTTGGCGAGAACAGAAGCAGATACATTGTTCCGATCGCCTTCTTGAGCCGTCCCGAGTTCCAGAGCCTCCTCAGACAAGCAGAAGAAGAGTTCGGGTTCGACCACGACATGGGCCTCACCATTCCTTGTGAAGAACGAGTGTTTCAGTCTCTGACATCCATGCTAGCTCATTAGATAGAGGGAGTGTGCATGATGTTAAGGAGTTGGAATTAGCTTTGCCTTTTTTTAGAGAGAATCGGAGGAGAATATGAAGCTGCAATTCACTACTAGCTTCTTTGTTTTCGATTCTCTCTTTCTTTAAATCTAAAATCCGACCCTCTACAAAATGCTAGGAGAGCGAGAGGTTCGCCCAATATTTGGTATTATTTTATACAAAGTGATGATTTTATATGTATGTGTAATGGTTATTAGGTCGTTCTAACTTTTGTACCATTGCACCTGAAAGTGTAATTATGTATATTTCAACAGATTTGAAAATTTTCTCGGGGTGGTGTTGAACTGGCCTTGAGAATAACTAATATTAATGATATTTTAGGGTTGTTCCCATGTTCTCACTCTCTGTCTCTTTGAGAATTATGTATTTTCATATATGAGTGAGCAGGTGATATGTCCTATCCGCATTTTTACCTTTGTATTCTTACATCCGTTTGGTATGCGCTTTATTTTAAATGTTTTGTTTTTGGCTAGAACAGAAACTGTAGGAGTGTTTTGAAAAAAAAAAAAAAAATTGTAAACACGTTTGGGAACGGGCGTTTTATTTTTGATCCGTGTTGGGCTACTGTTATGGTTTTGGACCATAAACCGTTGTCAAAATAAGAAAAAATAATCTTTTTGGTGTTTTGGTTTTGGGAATGAGCACTATGTAAAATAAAACAAAGCCGCACCAAATATACTTTTATTGTCAAAATTGACACATAACAGCCCAAAAATAAAAATAATAGAAACAAAACGCATGCCAAACAGACCTAGGAAATCTGTAACGAACTAAAAATACGGACAATCACAGAACGTTTGAATCAAATCACTAAAAGATGATTCAAAATGCAATTCTAAAACAAACTAACTTTGCGCTACTCTAGTAATATCAAACTTAAACACAACTAGATCATCAGAGAAAAGTGATACAACTAGTCCCAGAAAATAACACAATTAGTCAATAGAAGTAGAGTGCATCAGTAATTTTAAGGATGATTATCTGAATTATATTGAACGATATTTAAAAAAAAGAAAAAGAAAATGTAAGAATACAAGTGGAGTGCCAATATATAAAAACTAAAAAGACCATAAATCCTTACACTTTTGTTATCATATCATTATTCAATGATGGTGGTATTAACTATATTAGTTATCAACATCTTATTCGCTCCCTTAAACAATAACCTGTGAGTCTCTGACTTTGAGCTAGATCATAGCGATGATAAAATGTAAATCAATTTTTTTTTTTTTTTCCTGTAAATCTAAAGGATTGAGACTACAAAGCAGTAGATGTCACACACTCTTTATAACAAATTAAAGAAGATAGACAGCTATGTATAGTGTATATGTACGTCACAGAAGTTACGGATATCAAGTGACAGATTTGGATAAATAACAGCTATGTATAGTGTATATGTACGTCACAGAAGTTATGGATATCAAGTGACAGATTTGGATAAATATAAAGGACAAAATACTGAATCATATACTTCCAATATGCCCCACAACTTGTTACTTTTTTTACAATGACAGAGTCAAATGCAAATTTAGAGTTTTCCCAGTTTGAATATGACAAAACAAAACAAAACAAATAGTATAATTTTAATAATGCAATTATTTTCCATTAATGTATGACGTGTTTTGTTACCACAAATAGTTCCCTTCTTCCACGGCCTAAATTATATAGTCAAGAAGAGACAAAAGTTCACATGTAGAATAGTAAGTAGTATGATAATTGATTAGTACGTAAAACATGTTTGGCTTCTTTCTATGTGTGTAGAAAAATGTTAGATGCAAATCGAAACTTGCAGTTGATTCCTTTGTTACTTTTGCTTCTTCATTCTTCCATATGTCTTTTCAATGTTTCCTTCCTGTACATTCTTGATGCAATTTGTGTTTGTTGAGTACTTGTGTTACAATTCCAAATTATTCTTTTTTAGTAAGCTTTATATGAATTATACTTTGTTTTAAGTTTATATGAGAATTTCATTTGAATATCGGATGATAAATTTTATGCTAACTTTGGTTGGAGAGAAGAATTGGAGAGGAATGAAAAAGCATATTGTGTTTGGTTGGAGGGAAGAAAAGAGATGGAGGAAGTAAGGAGGAATGTTTCATTCCTCATTTCTTCATATTTTTTCGTCCGCCCAATTTTGAAGAGAATGGACGAGAAAATAAATAACTACCTACAATATACAATTTTTAATTTTAACCATTTTTTAAAAAAAAAAATTCAAATGGATATCTACATTTTATTATTTTATAAATTGAGGTTAGATTTTAAAAATATATATATTGAAATTCTCTTTCCCTTACTTTCAACTAAATAAAAAAAAAAAAAAAAAAAAAAAGTATCAGTCTATTCATCATTTGTATTATTCATTTTGTCTAATTAAATAAAAAATGAGAGATACCTTCCATTAATTTTTCCAAACCTTCAACTGAACGAATCATTACATTTATCAATAATCTTAGTGTCATACATTGGTGACACCAATTTGACTAGATGATTGTAACCTCTCATTGTTTAGCCACGTAGTGAGGGTAGTACAGAGTGCAAACTACGAGGTTGGATTCTATATTTAATTCATGTAGTCTATGTATAAAGGGGCTAGTCCCTCATTTTTGCGGAAGAAGGAGAGATTATTTTTCGTTACTGCCGAATCACGATAAAACAAACTATTGCATAAATGTTTGCCCTCTGGAATTCTTACTAGCATTTTTATTCGCAAATGAAAGATTCTAAAAGAGCTTGTAAATCAATTTAACCTCCTATTAACCTGAAATATCTTGTAAAACCTTCAGAACGAGATAGAAGGGCCTATTGAGGATCACGGGAATATATTTCTTTGGGTCATGGACTGGTTCAGTGTCAAGAACCACAAAGTCTAAAAAAAAAAAAAAAAACTACTGTTCACTGCATAAACTCTAAGATCAGAAAGACAAATTTTCTCAGACAGGGTTGAATCCTTACTCTTTGCTTGACCAAAAAGTCTAATCACTGAAAAGTCATAATAGAAACTTCTGTGATCTTTTCCGCATAGCTAGCAAGCATTTGACAGATCTTTTCCACAAACCCTAATTTAGAATAAAAATCCCAACACAAAAGAAGGATATTTTTTTAAAAATATGGTTTGGTTGGTGGGTGCTATTGTTACCACTAGTGTTACCATTATCTTTATTTTTCTGATTCCAGAATTGGGTGATTGACAAGCAAAAGCCCACTTCATGTTGGGAGGTTGGCTCTGTTGTAGGACACACCTTGTTGCCTGATTTTACTTTCTATCCACAAATTGATCTGACTCTGTAAGCTCTCCTACCAACACAAACTATAACACCCCAACTAAAAACTTCATTACATGACAAGTTTACCCAAATAAATATCTGGCAAAAAACAAAAAAAGAACAGCTTTCAATTGTACAACAATTGTGGGCTTTGGTCTGGCTTAGAAATACAAACACTCACAGGGAAAATTAATAGTATTCTGACAAATGTCCTCTTTTGTCCAGTGAAATTCATAACTATTCAAATGTATCCGTTGATTTGGCATCTCACTTGTCGTATCTATGAAAACAGTTTTTTTTGTTTTAAAAAACCTATACAAAACACTCTATTTTGCTCAATTTTTTTAACACTATCTTTTAAAAACTCAGTTATAAAAAGACCTGTTTTCAAAGAATAATCTTTTATAATTCTCTAAAAAGAGTTTATATTTTTAAAAGATAGTTATCTAAAAACATGTCTTTTTACAACTAAATTTTAATAAAACTGAACCAAAAACGGTTTCCTTGGTTTAGTTTCTTTATAACTATTTTCTAAACATTCGATTATAAAAAAGTCTGTTTTCATAGAACACTCTTTTATAATTCTTTTACCTTAACTCGTCTATTTCGATGTTGAATGTATTGTTAAATTACAAATATTATTATTAGTTTTATTTCTCGATGTAGTTGAAAATATATAATTACTAATTATTGTGGAAGAAATTTAATTATCTTACCTTTTCAAGATGTTTTACTTATACACACACACATAAAGATATATATAAATATATATAAAACACACACATACACACACACAAATAATTATCTAGACATCTTTAAATTTAAGTGAAAAGAGTAGAAGAGTGGTGATACTTTCGGGATGGAGTTCATGCCAAACTAACTTGCACATTCCTAAAACACATTAATTCTACAGTGTTCTCTTAACTTCCATCTCCATGTTTGCCCAAATAATAAACAAAAATAAATAAATAAATAAAAAGAAAAAAGAATAATGACGTGACATGATATCAATGTATTACCTTAAAGTTTAAAAACTATGAGTTGTTTCAGCCAAACAAACAAACTATTACAGGTTGGATGAAAAGAAAAGGTATTAATAGATAGAGAGATCATGTACAGTTCATACAAAATTACCTCACATTGATCACAAAGCATCCTCAGATGGGAAATCATCAGAAATCAGCTTTCACGGTTTCCTCGTTTCTAACGGTCTCCCAATCAGAACTTGATGACCATCTCATGCTTTGACAAACTCATTATTCAATTTCAGAGTAAATACGATACCAGTTCGAGAATTTGCATTCTGAAAATTAAAAGCTGAGCAACTTGAATACGATTCAGATCAGTATGTACAGAACTTCAGCCCATATTCGTTGCTGCTACATTTTTTTTTTTTTTTTCCTTCTTTCCCAACGGCTTGTCAACTTAGAAACATCTTTTGACCCTGCGAGCTGCAAGCCTAATTGTCATTCTTTCCTTTTGAGGAAAAGAATCTGCTAAACCCGCGTGAATGTTTCTCTGGTGTTGGCGTAGAAGAAGTAGAGGAGCTCGACTTTGTAGGCCGGTGTTTTGGATGCATGGAACTGATTGGTGATTTTAGGAGAGTGCGTGCTGCTTCATTGTCTGAAGGGCTATACGGGGAGTTGTAAAGATCCATGGGCGACTCACTACCTACTCTCTGCAAATTGGTATCCGTCTCGGCCTGATCCAAGTCTTGCAAGTTCATGCCACTGGTAGTTGGTTCTTCTTCACCAAAGCCTTCGCCCTTCTCAGACCTCTCACTGTGTGGAGACCCCGTAAACTGTGTCGGAGGACGCAAAGCATTCAACTGCTTGCCAAGAAGAAATATGGTTTCTTGACATTCAGCTAGCTTCTCTGCTGCAGCCTCTAACTCTCTCTCCTGAAATGACGAGAAACATCATAGCATCAAACCAAGTGATGGAAAAAAATAGACATTAAATCTCAGGTTAAAGTTCTATTTGACATGGGATTCTTTCAGTGACTAACAAGAACAGAGAGTTTGATAAATTCATTTAAAATGCATAACGTGAAAAGAATATTCAGTTTAAAAAAACATAAGCAGAGAAAGCCAGACTGCTTTAAATTTAAATAAGAAAGATTTTGCATTTCCTGAAGAAAAGAAAGAAAGGCGGCCCAAACTACCAAGTGCAACCATTGGAAGCTTAACTAAATGTGCTATAAATTTTTTAAGACTAAAATATAAACTTAATTAAATGTGTTATCATAAAAAAATAAACTTGTGCTAGGCCAGAGAGAGAAGAAGTGGATATAAATCGCAGCCCTAACTTTTGTGCATGCTCTGACCAAGGTAGTAAAGTAATTCCTACCAGACAGGCTCTCAGATTTATTTTGGAAGGGAAAGCATTTCAATGATAATCTTTACCATACTTAAAGCAAAAGTTGAAGAAATCCTAAAGCATATCCTGACAAGAAGTACAACAACGTTACACATGAACATATGTTGTACATACTTGGACTTTATCATCACTATCATTTTAACGCAAACCTCCTGAATCCATGCATCAACTAAAAATAGCATCCCTCCATTTTTTAACATCTAGGACATTGATAAGATTACCAAATCTAGCCATGGTCATTTCAGTAAAGCGTGCACACATACATGAAATAAAGCTAGGAATCTGTCCCTGAAAATTAGACATGTTTGTATTTGTCTTATCATTTCTTACTTATATATTTGTCTTTTTAGTGTGAAAGGGTATAGTGGTAAATACATTAAAATAATTTCCTTTCCTTTCTTTCTCCAAACATGATTAAGTGCTAAGGCTATCATTTCCTTTCTTTTCCCTCACAAATCAACCAAACACAATGAGATGTTAACACTAGCCTTTCCTTTCTTTTCTTTTCCTTCCTATCATACCATATATGGCTTTAAAAATAGATCAAGCTTCAAGACCATAATATCACTATCGTGTGACTTTTATGACATATTTGTATGTGTAACAAGCCCACAATGCAAGCGCCAAGACTGCGAGTTATACATACACATTCATAATTACATATATAAATGTTGGTCAGTGAATCACAAACTCCCAAATTCAAATAAAATTGAATCACGACTTTCTAAATTAATAATAGATTATCTATATTTTACCAAGATACCAGCTCATTCCACATAATTCTCTTTTCTAGGACAACATGGGAACTCTGAATTTAGTAGGGTTTTGTTTCTACTCTAATCACTGACTTATAATACCCCAGGAAAGAGCAGAAAGGCTGAGAGCATTCTTGAAAGTTCATTTTTGAAAAACTTAGTAAGCATGACTTGTCACCCGATATCTATTGTTAAATAGCATGCATAGCCAAATACTGTTGGGACAAAGCATGACTATATTGTTCAGGAAATTGTAGTATTTATTGATATACTGTGTGAAGTAAAAAATGAAAGCATTGTGAGTAATTCTGGCTCTGAAAATACAAAATGACTTGTATCCTCACCTTTTTAGTCTTGACGTCAATATCAGCCACTGGGCAGCTCTCAATCCTTACAAATTAAAAAGGACATGCAGAAGTCAGCAATAAATTCAAATCTATACAAAACATGGAAATATAAGCAAATATATACATACTATGTATATATATATATGTATATTCATATATAAACAGTCATGGCACCATTAGTAAGTTCAAAGATTCAAATATAAAAAGCTGGTTTGAGCCAGAAAAAAAGTTTTGTTCAATCAAGTCCCATCTCTAACTTAATATTTATGAATACAAAGTGCAACCAGAATTCTGTGCCAAAGGAAACCAAGTGAACGTAGGGAAGGAATATCTAGCAGAGGAATTGTTGAACATCTTTGCAAAAACAGAGGTAGGAAATGACAGGAGGCTCCATTAGTAGGAAAGGGATTGGAAAGGATGTGGATGTCACATGTAACTGTTTCAATTTCTTTTCTTCTTTTTTTCCTAGTTGAATTTCTTCTCTGTATTGAGAGAGGCCTCTAAAATATAAAAGTAAAGACCTCCCTCACAGGCCTGAAAATGTGGGCTTTAGCTTTTGTATGAACAATTTGAATTTAATTGACTGGAAAACACGTGATATGTCAAAACCCAATATTTGGCTGAAAAACAATCAGGCCTTTAAACTTGAATGAGGAACTATTAGTCGGGCAGGCAATGCCAACATACCCAAGAAAAGGTTCAGTGCTAACCTTTGCAATTGCTCTTGAAGATCCTTACATTGGGCCAAAGCATCTTGATGACTCCTCCTTTCCTCCTGAAGCTCATCATCCAGACTTTCTGTTCTCACACGCAGAATATTTATTTCAGCTTGTAACTCCTCTGCGCGTGTTTCAAGAGACTTGTACGACTCTGCCATACATTTCAGCTGTGTCTCAGCCAAGCTGTTCAACTTCTGAACAGATGTCAATTGTGATTTAACTTCTGCTAGAAGCTGCTCTGTTTCCTGTAACTGAGACTTGGTGCTTTCCAGATTTTCAGTACATCTGGTTAGATCAATTACCAAGTTATCTTTCTCTAGTTTCATTTGCTCAAACTCCTCCAGTGAGCATTTCCATGATGTAGTGTTTGGTTCAAAGGTTGGAACGAAATTTCCTTCATGGGGAATGTCGGGATCAGATGTTGAATCAGAAAAGTGGGCACAACCATTTGGATATCTATCTCCCAGTCCCAATGAGTCATGGACCACCTTATTCTCAGGTAAGGCGACCTTATCGATGCAATCAGAACTGATGGTTTCTGCTTCATGATTCTTATAGCCCAGGACATTAAAGTGGAGTTCACTGGCTTTAGTCAATACACGAGAAAGGTCAAGAACAAAATCAACCAAACTTACTTTACTGCTTAGAACCTTATCAAAGGTGGTAGAGAACTCCTCAAGTTTTCGGCTTAGTCCATCCTCATCAGGATCCCTGCCCTGAACAGCCATAGCTTCTTTGCCCAGAATCAAGACAAAGTCATGAATATGAGAAATGGAAGCTGCCAATTCTGGGCTTATTGGATGTACAGTTTCTTCACATTGTTTACTATATCGGGACAAAGAGATTTCCTTCTCTGACGCTACCTCAGTCTCCTCAGGACAAGCCTGCAAATCACATGTGGCACCAGAACAGGTGCTATCTTTCGAAAGACAATTTGCAGAATCCTGATGTAAACTATCACGTGTTTCCTGTACAACATGTCTTATATCCTCCAAAACCTTTACCATATCAGCATCCTTGGACATGGATTCAAACACCGTGGAAATTCTTGATTGGAGCTTCACCAAGGGCAGTGGACTAATATCAGATTGCGAGTCCAGTGCTGACAAATCCATATCAGTAGACATCTGAGTTGCCAATGGAATTGAGTCGGGCTGCTCTTTGGGCTGAAGATCTGTGCTAGTACTGGACTCCACCAAAGCATCAGGGTTTTCAATTTCAGATTTTGTATTAGTTGAATCATTTGATAAATATGCCAATTTCTCCATCTCCAGAAAGTCGTCCATAAGCTCCATGTGATTTGCATTTTCGGCTTTTTTAGATTTCTCACCGTTCTTTACCTTCTTGGACTGAGAGAGGTCAGAGATCAATGTTGTAGACCAAGACCCTGAACAGCTAACTTCATCATCATTTCCATCTTCAGACATGGAAGTCAAGCTAGGCGGTTTGCTTTCACTTTGACTAAAGGAACCTCCAGTGAAAATCTGAACATCAGATTTTTGGGGACTTATCTGTGGATTATGAAGTTGCAGTTGTGTTTCTATACTTTGAAGCTTGCTAACTGTCTTCGCACAAATATTCCTGGAAGCCTGCAATTCGCTGTTACGTTTTGCCAAAGCTTCTTTCAGCATCTTTGTTTCTTCTTCCATTGCCCAAAGACGTTCCGTGAGAAACTCATTATCTTTATGGCACTTGTTTACACTGTCAATGGAAAATTCAGGCAAAGAGGACAAGTGGGGAGTAGAAGGCTTTACAGGAGACCTCCTTAGTCGAGTTTCTCCGTAATCCCGGCCTAAGTTCTCAACTTCTAGCTTCATTTGGGCCAGTGCTGCAGGACCAGGCAACTTCTTCCTCACAAGACCACGCAACCTCTGGCATTCTGCTTCCAGCTTAGCTATTTTCTTGACTCCTTCCAGGTGCTGCTTGTTAGCTACTTCTGCAGATCTGACACTCATGTTCTTTTCCTCATTACGAATTTCTAGCTCTTTGGCAACTATATGAAGTTCATATTTAAGTGAATTTATTTCTTTTTCACATGATTCAATATTGCTCTTCAATAGTTCAATCTCTGCCTCAGCTTGGGATTTTTCCTCACTCATCCTGACCAACATGTTAGAACGCTCTTGCAAAGACCTCGAAAGTGCGGCATTTTCTGCAGCAGACCTGAGGAGTTCTTGGTCTAATTTAGCTATCTTAGCTTCAAACTCAAGCTTTATCTTGTCGCACTGCTTCGTTTTGGTAAGAACAACTTCATGCAATTTATGTTCATGTTCTTCCTTCAAATTCCGTATCTGTCGCATGCACTCCTTGAGAGCGCCATCCAAATGTGAAGCTCGATCTTCAGCAGTAAGCTTTAAAAGCGTGACAGATTCTAGATGATTTTTCAATGCCAAAGCTTCTGACTCAGCCTTTTCCCAACCTGCAGTGAAGAGAAGTCTTAGTTTTATTTCATTCAGTCCATGTCCAATTAAAAAAAACCCAAGTCCTCAACACAGCTACTGAACTACAATGCCTGGTTAAAGCTACATACAAGAACAAAAAAGAAAAAGAAAAAATATAAATCTTGATCGAAAGAAGATGACAATGAATTTTTAAGTGGGAAAAAAAGCATAATTGCACAAGTTTCTTTTAAGTTCATATAAATTTAATCAAATATATCATACCTGAGACAGCTTCTTCAGCAACTTTAGCATGCTGTTTCACTAGGCTTTCCTTGGTAGTCATGTCTGAATGGGCCTCAGACAGCTTTTCATTCAATTCCTTAACTTCATCCTCTAAAGTTTTCACCTGATCTTCATATGTTTTCACTTGATCGTCATAGGTCTTCACTTGATCTTCCAACCCAGTCAGATGTGAATATGACTCCACAGTGATTTGAACATAATTTGGTTTTTTGTACTTATCCTGTTCATCCAGAGACAAAATAAAATAAATATAAAATAAAAGAACTATAGAGGGGAAAAATAACCAAATCAACAAGAGAATTAAACTAATTCATTATAATAAATTAGTCACAAATAAAAAAAGAGGGATACGACTTGCTTAAGATAAAAGTTCCGGTTGAAGTGCTTTTATCATTCCAAAATAAAAAATGTGTTTCACTCATTAAAATTAAAATTTCAGGTTGTTGAAACAGTGAACTTCTCTAAAAACACTTTAATATGTGCAATTAGAACCATTTGAATGCTTCACACAAACTAATATTACAATGACTAGGCAAAAGCCTCCCAAAAGAGTTTTACAACACTGCATAGGGACACATAGTTTTACCTCACTTTGAAAAGGCTTCAACCCAATGATTCATATTAGGTTTGACAAGTGATTCATGCCAATGGATATTACTTATACAAGTATAAACAATCTATGTTAATTGTAGCATAAGTAGTCTAATATATATATGGGCTCTATGCAATTGTACAGCCTTTGAGCCTAAATATAAGCAGGTTCATATGGGTGTTCCTGTGAGATTGAGCAACGACCAATTTATTCACTCTTTGTCCCTTCTACTATAGATATTCCTACTCTTACCAGAAAGACAAGTGCCTTAATAGAGAATGACACATGGGAACTTGCGTTTGTACATCTAACACTTGTATCATCGAAAGTAATGGGTCTTCTCTATAGAACTAAAATCAGCAAGAATAGTTGTCATGGTACAAACAAGAATATGGGGATAACTATAAAGAAACAATTGCTCCAGTAGCTAAAATGACCACTATGCAACTGATTGTTGATATTTCTGTTGTAACCAGAGAACTGTCTTTCAGATTTCTAATGAACAGTTTTTATGTGTATCCTTGACGATATTTCTCTAAGAAGTATATAGTATGCCAGTTATAAAATATGTAAAAATAAAAATCACTTTATGGGTAAAGCAGGCTCAAGAACATGTTTTGAACCATTTAGAAGGTTATTCTAGATGTTGGATACACACATAACAAACTTGACTACTCATTATTCACCCATCATTTCTGACTAGTGGTTATCATTCTTTTGTCATACGTTGTTGGCATAATTATAACAAAAAATTATCTGTATGGTTTTGAGCAACCAAAGAAACATTTTTGGACAATCTTTTAAGATGAAAAATTTAAGGCCATTGTACAAGCATACTTTATCAGTTTAGAAGTCTCCCCATGTGGATATACATAGAGAAAATACCATGGCCTTGATATAATTAGCAAATTTAGTTGAAGATAAATGCGTTGAACCCTATGGAGATGATATGTCAAGTTTAAAAGGAATGACAGTGAGAGGCTCCCAGATCCAAATTATAAGTGCCACCTACATTGGCTGTCCAATCTACCAATCATCAAGATTCACCTGACATTTTAAGCAATTCACATCACTAGAAGTTTGTTTTCAATCCATACCGTCTACACAACGGAGGAGCCAGGAATTTAATTCAGTGGGGGTAATGTTGAACAATGTCAATATAATTATTTCTTTTATCAAAATAAAAAATAAATAAAAAAAACTTAAATATTGATTTACATCTATTGTTATACATTTATGATTGTATATGATCAGTTTTTATGTTTTGAACATTGCATGATAATCTATGTGAAATAATCCCAGTAAATTAGAAGACTCTATTATAGTTTTAGTTATTTGAAAAACCAATTTACAAGAAAATCAATTTATTGATGTTAACAAAATTCTTATTCTGTTGTTTTGTAATCTAAGATGAAATTTTAATTCAAAAAAACTGAGATCAAGTGAAAAAAATAGAATAAAGAATTTTCCACACTGGCTTACTGTTGATAAATATATTGAAAGAAACCGGTTCACCTTGTGGCCTGTTGGCCTAGGCTTGAACCCACCACAAGGCCAAGGTTTGAGACTGGTAGAACATATGCCAAATATATTGAAAGAAGACTTATATGACTCTTCTCGTTAGAAGAATGTAAAAGAGATATATCGACTAACATGGAGGACATGAACTAGTTGCAGAAAAGTGATGTGCAAGAAGATAGCCACCTATAAAAGGGTCAATATTAAGGACCTTTTTTTTTTGGTAATTTGAAGTGAGTGCATTTTTACAATAGTAGAAACTTTTATATTAAAAAACTAACATAAAACAAAAGTTGAGTGGGGGCAATTACCCCCACTCAACGCTATGTGGCTGCCACTGTGGCTACATGTCACTGCAGTAACAGTTCATTTTATTATTCAATGTCTAAGAGGCACTAATTCAAGGAAACCATTCTTTCTTTATTCTCTCCAATTTCAAGCTTATGCTGATGCTAATTGGGTTGGTTGCCATCATTCCCATTGCTCGGCCACCTGGCTGCTGCGTGTGTTCTTGGCGATTCTCTTATTTCCTAGAAGTATAAAAACAACACACTGTTTCTAATTCCTCTACCAAAGCAAACGACAAAGCAATGGCTCAAGGGTGTTCCATAAGACCTAGGTGTGTTAATCATGACTACAACCTCCCTGAGTGCCAATAATACAAGGGCATTCATATTGTATCCAACCCCATATTAACTATTTAGTGTGCAAAGGATATTGAGTCGATTGTCACTTCACTGTTCACAATTACTTGGAAGGTGAGATTAAACTTCTGCATGTTGCCACTCAACACCAACTATCAATACCAGATATTTTTGCAGGGGCAATGATCTGATCGTGGCATGACTATTTAGTTCACAAACTGATGTTATTTAATCAGACTTAGTTTGTGGGGGAGAGTAGAAACAATCATTGTAAATTGCAGATGGTATTGTACATTGTTGTGGTTTATAGGGGCTACTATGTAATTGCATTGTTCTTTAACTAAAATATAAATAGGACAGCTTTTTTGGGTGTGCTTGTAAGATTGAGCAGACAGCCATTACATTCTCTCTTCGACCCTTCTATTATTGGCTCTTTAAGCTTTCACTACTTTACTGAACAATCCTTTCAACAGAGGAGAGAAGGAAATGCCCATTCCAAGACAAGTAGTCATAATGTGATAAGTATGTGCATGTCTTCAGAACAGCATATAACAAAGAGGGTGACTAAGCACAGTCAGATTCAAATTCATGGATCAATTACAGTAGAACTATGCATTTGACAATTAAATTTATTGAGCCTTACCAGGCGCAGGGGAGGGGGGAATTTGAATTATTGGGAACGGTAAAATGTTACACAAAGATGTGCTGGTCATTTAACATGATTAGAGGGCTTCTGATAGGAATCAGATAGGACTAAATAAAGTGGAAGTCATTAAAATTTAGACAGAATAATGCAGATTATTCAACATCTCAACACTCCCAATAACATTAAAAATATTAATAAAAAAAGAATAAGAGGAGATCTTTGGAATACAATCAAATCAAGTTATTTAACAAACTTAAAACAATAAATAAATAAAGTCGCATTATGAAGTCAAGGAACAGACCTGATCATTCTGAGTGCCAGCTGAAGCACCAGCTGAGTCTGATGCAGCAGCTGCTACCACAGCTGCTGTCTTGTCAGATGATTTCTTCTTCCAAGGCCAACTCCGCCGATCCATCCCAGACTGTTTAGTTTGCACGTATATAAGTTAGCAACAGAATATAACCTGACAATATTATGAAGAAGTTGGTCTAACTAACAGAAGAACTCATAACTTAAAATTTGTCTCTTATCGTTCTCATTTTCCCCCTAGCTAAGCATAAATCACTTGCTAAATACATAGAGGTTTTCACTACGTGCTTGCTGGCCTTCACAGTACAATGTTCAGCTAAATTAACCAAATCATGAATAAGTAACTATACTTCAATGTCAATAAACCACACTAAATTCTGCTCAACCTATATTCTAACCATCCATAAAAGTGGATAGTGCAATAAATTTTCAATTGCTAACTGGTGCAGAAAAATAAGCAAGTTACAATGTAAAACACACACACACACAAACATAAATCTTACATCTTACTAAAATATCTGTTCTCTTATTAAGAAGATTGTTGGAGGGAGTGGGAGAACCAGGTTTGAATGAGTCTGAGTTCTACAGTCAAATGGTCTTCAATTATTTGCAGATGTACAGATGTAAAATAACCAAATGTTTGTTATAAAATAGTACATTGTATATAAGTAATAAAATACTGTATTACTCTGACCAACTAAAAAAAAAACCAAATTAAAATCTGCAACAGAAATTAAGGAGAGAAGAGTAAACATCATGTAGAGTACATACTTGACAAACAAAAGATCATCTCTGGAAGAGAAATTCTTTGACATTGTGAGAAAATTGAATTTTCACAGTTTCTCGCTAAGTTAAACAAATTAGTCAGTTGGCAGGTTGCACATAGAGGTTTTTACTTTGTACAAACTTTGAAAAATTTATTCCTCAGTGCATGATCAGAAAACATGAACTAGATGCATTGCTAATATATATCACCCTGATATCCACCTCAAAAAAAAATTTCTCAAAAAAAATCAAGGGAATGCCGATTTTGAACCTTCTACAGCCACTCAATTGCATTGAGCCAATTCCTTTTTTCTTTTTTCTTTTTTTTCTTTTTTTTTTTTTTTTCCCAGATACAGATATTTCTTAATCATTTTGTCTCAAGTTTTAAGAATCAACCCAAAAAAAAAAATAGTACCTGATGATATTCAAATCTGCAATGCAGATCCAGCCCTATGAAAATTAAATATTATAAAAAGCAAACAGCTACTTTCCATAACCATGAAAGAGGAGAGGGAGAGGAGGAAGACTGGACCATCAAGAAAATGCGCTCATGACTATTTGAATATTTATTAAGAAGATCCAACAAAAGAGAGAGAAGTACAAACAATGACATGCATTGCCTACATTTTGTTTAAATCTGAAGTTTTTAATTATCACAGGCACACACACACACACAAAAAAAAAAAAAAAACACCATTACAAATGCTCCAATTTCAGCCCACCGATTCAGATGATAATTCAAAAACAACCAATTGCAAGATGTGAACACCAAGATTTATCTAGAGAGCATTGCTTTTCGGTTTGAATTCGCCACCCTAAGATAGAAGCTTGAACAGAGGAAGTAATTTGAAAAACAATATAAACCATATTAGAAGCCAATTCATCTAAAAACATGACTTAATTTTAGGAGATTAATTCAAATCTATACAGCAACCAACAGTGAGATAAATAAAATAAAAACAAAAAATAAAATAAAATAAGTTACTTCGACTGGAAAAAATAGAATCACATATACATACATATAATTTCTCGGAACGATACGCTATCAAAATCTGAAACAAAATGAAGAACTCGCCCTATATTTTAACATTGATAGACCACAATAGTCATTGAAGAACGAAAATCAAATCCAGAAATTAAAATAAAAAATTAAAAAATCTACAACCGTGACCGACAAAAAGAGAAGAATATCTCCCGAACGAGAAAGAACAGCTTCAAATAGAAACAAAGAGATTGTTTTGAAAAAAACAGAAATAAACCGAGTGAAAACAAAAACACTTTTCTTTCAGTGAACGACATTGATCGAATTGAACTAAAGGAGATCGGAAACATCAAAAATCGACTCACCAGTTGCAATGCAGCTTTCACAACAGAAAATCAAGTGTTGCTCTGGAAATATCAGTAAGTTGAGATTTTTCAGTGACAGAGATTAAGATCTATATAGGTTTTGTTCTCCCTTAAGATCCTCTTCTCCTTCAATTCCAGAGAGAGAAAGTGTCTGCAAGTGTTTTCTAGAGAGAGAGAGGGAGACGGAGGACGTGGTGGTGGAGAAGTGATGCTGCTGCTGGTGGTGTTGGTGGATGGGCTAAAATATTCCGCGTTTGGTGTCACTTAAAAAGCAAAACGTAAGAAAGCTCCAAACATCAACCTTTAAATTTATAAAAAAGATTTAAAATAATATTATTATTTATGGAAATTTTAATTATAGCAACCTAAATAATTTACTAATTATCCTGATTTGCAAGTTTAGATGACAGAATTACCCCTAACTAATACGCTATTGACGGTGAGGTCCCACGCTTGTTCCAGAAGTCAGTCATGAGCTGTACCCGATGTTGCAAGTTTTGTATGTGAATTTATACAGCTACTTTTTGGACCACCGTCACTAGGCACTGTTGACAAACCACTTGAGTGCCTTCAACTTTTGTGTACACACACAACACACAGTATCATATGTGTGTATTTTTATATATCTATATTTATATACGTTTGTATGTGTACGTATTAATAATTGAAGAGTAATGTGTGACAAATTGTTGAAAGCAACTAAATTGACTACGACAATAACATTGTTCATATACTCATCAAAATGTCAAAATTACCCTTTATCTTGTTGATGATGATGATGAGACCATGACGTGACCTAATTTCATGGCATATTTCAACTACTTTGATTGTAATTAAAAAAGACTTTGATTGTAATTAAAAAAGACTTTGATTGTAATTAAAAAAGACCTGTGACTTGTGAGACCAAAATTATTTTTAAATTGAGAAAACATATGAAAAATTGTAAGAAAATTAGGATTGTTTTGAAGGGAAGTGTTGTTTTTAACTATGAATTAATGTTTGCATCTCTCACCAAAACACGATTAACAGAGATTGAGACAAGAAATGAATTGCTTAGTTGTCATTCTTGTGCCTTGTTTGGTGTCTGTAAATGAAGGAAAATGACATAAATTTGTTTATCATATATCCATGTGAAAAATGGCACAATGATATATGAAAGCTGATAATAAAATTGGAGATTAAATTCGACTTAGTTAAGGAGACATATTATTTTGAATTTTTCATCGAAAAGTATAAGGTTATGTTCAGTTGTACGGAATAGTGTTTTGAAATTGAAATTGTAAAAAATTTAATTTAAATAAAGTAATTTTTTCTGCAACCAAATGTAACATAAACAAATTTTCAATTGCCTTTCCTCAAATCTTAATAAGTAAGTTATGACGATTATCTAATATGGAAAATAATTTTTACACCATCTTGTTGAAGTGAATGGTTACATTTACTGTTTTTAATTGGTCATCTATTCCATAAATAAATTAATGGACCCCTCCACTTGTAATTTGCATAAATAATCAATCAAAAATAAGTCAATTATACAATTCACTGCAAATTTTTGATATAAGTATTATATTACTCTTCTAATGTTGATCAACATTGTAAAGGGTATTTAGAAAATGATGACAACCCTAGAAACAATGTTCAAAAACCCAAATTCTTGAGACATCCAAACAGGCCTTAACATGCACCATGAAGAGATTGTTCATTGAGTGCTGATGACATTCATTAGAACCGCCACAAAAAACAAGAAATGGTGGCAAAGATGCGTGTTTTTGTTTTCTATGAAATCAAATAAATTATTATAAGGATGGTGATATAATAATTTCGAGGCTGATTGTTGGACATAAATGTGCGATTAGAGCACCTATTAACATATTAATTAGAATAAGAAAAATTACGTGTTAGTCTTATCTTTTAATTTAACGGATCATTAAGTTTAAGTCCTATTAAATTTTAATAGAATAATAAGGTCCTACTTTGAATTATTTATTTTTTATTAAGTTCACTTATAATTATTTTTTCATCATTACCCTTTCTGATTGGAATAAAATAAAATTTATTTTTAGGTACTTTGTAATAAAAAAAATAATCTCGAACAAATTTTAAATAAAATTTATCTTTAGGTACTTTGTAATAAAAAAATAATATCAAACATATATATAAATTTACTTTTGTTTTTGAAATAATTAGTTTTGGGCAAATATTAAGTAGGAAAATGATTGAAAAAAATTATAACTTAGTCATTAATTATTCATGAATTTACTACTTGAAAATAACATTGTGGATTCCATGAAAAAAAAAAAAAAAGAAAAAAAAAAGTGAAATTAGTTAATTTGTTAAAAATATTAGAAGATTACTAATTAGGTGTCATGTGCATTTTTATTGTTATTTTAGTTCGTGCTAATTGAAAAATTGAGATAAAGGATATAATTAGTATTTTAATAGTAAAAGGACATTAAATGTATTCAAAGAAAGGGCAATGTTAGAAGAAGAAAAAAAATTGTTATTGACAGAATTTTGAACTCAATTGAAAATTAATTTAAGGCAGGAATTGATTGACCTAATAAATTTTTATAGGATTTATTGGTCTTTGAAATTTAAAAATAGAAAAAGGTGTAATTTTACTATATATATATATATATAGAGAGAGAGAGAGATATATAGAGAGAGAGAGAGAGAGATATATATATATATATATATATATATATATATATATATATTTGGGAAGTATTGGACAATGTGGTTGGATTGAAGATAGCTAGGGAAGTGGGGGGAAGGCATCTCCATCATTTTGTACAATATAAATGAGTGGAGTTGTCCATCACTACTAATTATGAAAATATGTTTTCTATGAATAGCCAAACATTCCGTGACATTGAATAAAGCAACCATAGCTAGACAGAGTAAATGGGTAACTTTGAAAATAGAGAAGATGTGTATTGCTTCTTTTAAGGAATTTAGTTTTCCAAAAATAATAATTATAATAAATTGTTATTTTAACCATTTTACAGTATTAAACTTACCCAATTGTTATGCAAAATCGTAGATGATAGAAAGGAAAATAGAAAGGTAGGAAGAAAGAAAAAAAAATTTTACAAATTTTTACGAAGGAAGAAACGATATTTTTTTATTCGATAGAGATAATATAAGGAAAGAAAGGAGAATATCATCATTCCTCCTTTACAAATTTTCATCTACTCATAAAGGAAAGGAAGGAAAACAAGTTATAGAAATTTTAAACTAAATATTATCCTAAATTATATAAATTATAATATTATAAATATTATTAGATATAATGTTAAAAATAATTAAAGTTTTCTATTTCCTTCTTTCTTAATTAATATAGTAAATTATGAATTTATTAAAAGAAAGAAATACACAGTTTCTTGTTTAAGAACGTCTCATCCATTTATTTTTCATCCCTTCCATCCATTCTTTTCTTTCTTACCAAACAGGACATTAATGATATTTTCTCTTATTATAAAATGGAATGCGAGGAGTTCAAACTCGCTGAAAACATTGTGAGTTATCTATTACAAAGAAAGAGAAAAAGAAAAGAAAAAAGGACAGAACATACGAATATTATAGTATGTGAGCACCGTGAGGTACATAATATGAAAAATAACATATTTAGTAATCTAAGTTAATTAATTAAATTTAAAAACAATTCATATGTGTTTTAAAGTTTAACTAAACATTACTTGTAGTCATGTATTACTAATATTTAAATTCAAAATTAATATAAAAAAAAAAACAATTAAAATTGAATAGGAGAAAAGATTCAAGTATTTAACTTGATAGCATATCCATGGATTTGAGTTTTAGTTGATGATATCACATTGTAATTTGTAAAAGTCTGCTTCCAAAATAAAACACTCGAACTTCAAGAATCGGGATAGCTTAATGGTAAGTCTCTTTTTTTTCGAATATTCATGAAGTGATTTTCAAAAAAAATCAAGTAATTTTATAGTGAATATAAGATGAAAAATTTGCATACATTTAAATCCGTTGATAGTAAATTATGAAATGACCTAAGAGACCAACACAAGAAAAAAAAAAATAATAATAATAATACAGCCGACACACAAAAAAAAATTTAAAAAAAAAAAAAACAGTAGTGCCAAACACACCCTCACAATTCCTCTTCCACCCCATTACACCGTGTTTGTGGGGAATGGCTGATTTTCTACTTTAAAGGATTGGACGCAACGTACTTTATTTATTTTTTATATATTTTTTATCCTAACAAACAACACATGCACACACTTTAAATAAAAAATTCTCAACTTTCAATTTAAAAGGCGATAAAATGTCACTAGACTTCAATCTTCGGTGGTAAAATATAATTCTTATACAAGAAAATTAAATAAAAAAATTTATCACCTCATCAAAATTAGACACATGAAGAGAAATTCCATAAAGAAAAGAATTGTTGTGCATATATGTAGCTAGCATGTCAATGACTAGATAAAAAGACATTTTAATGGCATTTTACCACCGACTCATGAAAAAAATTGTATCATTTAGAGAGTGTGGGATGGTTGAACACCCAACCTAAATTTGTCCTATATAATTGTTGAAGCATATAAAATAAATGGTACCAGACTGTGATTAGTTTCAGTAAATCAACTAGTACACTCTTCTTAATTGTTTAGTTAAAAAATTGACTGGTTTTGGTAGAAGATATAATATTGATTTGGTCGCAGGGTCACCATTGCTAGCTACTTGCTTACTTTGACCATACAAACTCTCCTTTTAACTTTTATCATTATTTTAGCACAAACTTTCACCATCCAAAATAAATAAATTAGGATAAATTATGCTGACTTTTAATGAAATTTTACACACAACATTTATGATTTTTATTTCTCCAAATGTTTAGTGCATGTGCTTAACATTACCCCTACTCGCCTATAATTTTCTTTTCGGTAGATCTGTTGACCATATTTGTTAAAATATATTGTAAAATATATTATTATTATATTGTAAAATATATACTAACCATATATAAGTTTACCTTGTATAGGATTATCATATATATAGTTACTATATACATATGGAGTTTATTTGTCCATTACACATAACCTTTCCTATATAAACCCCTCTTGTATATATCTTACATATCATCATCAATACAATATTGAATAATTAGAGTTTCTCTCATTTATATTTAAATAAATTTTATAAAATAACAATTTTACCATTTCTTTGTATGAAAAGACAATAAGAATAAATAACATTGATCTCCCTTAGGATTTTTGTAATCGTGTGAAAA